CTCAAGATTGTAAAAGGCCGCACCGACGTCGAGGCCGCCGGCCTGCCCCTGACCCAGGTCGTCACCCACGGCTCCCTGCGCATCGGCTTCCTCGAGGGCTTCACGCTCGTCTCGTCCGAGCCCGACCTGCTCCTCGCCGAGGCCAACAAGCTCGATGTCGATGTCCTCTGCTGGGGAGGCACCCACCGCTTCGACGCCTTTGAGTACATGGACAAGTTCTTCGTCAACCCCGGCAGCGCCACCGGCGCGTTCGCCACGGGCTGGGGAAAGGAGGGCGAGGAACCTGTGCCCAGCTTCTGTCTCATGGATGTACGTGCGCTGTCTATCTCTCTCTCTCTCCCCCCCCCTTTGCTAAAGAAGCAACGCGGGGAGCTCGTGTCGCGCCGTGAGGGGCTAGACGTGACTGACATACCACAGGTGCAAGGAATCTCGCTTACCCTGTACGTCTACCAACTGCGAAAAGACGACAACGGCAATGAGAGCGTTGCCGTGGAGAAGGTCACCTACACGAAGCCGGTCGAGCCAACAGGCGGCTCATGATAAGGCGTCATGACGGCAGTAGCATGCAGCGGTAGGGTGTGGGAACAAGTCACTTTGGCCCAGGGTCAGTCAGGCTCATTAGCCCGGACAGTTATGTGAATTCGTTGCGATGAAGCGGTTTGAACAACAACAAGTCTAAAGAATTACAAGCTGAGAGTGTTCGTAAAGACTCCTGGTATCATCATCCCCTGTTTTCCGGGATCGACCAAAGACCAAAACTCCGTATGGTCACAAAGAAAGAAAGAATAAATAAAAGGCCAAAAAAAAAGCTACCCGCGTGGCTCGAAAGGCGCAGACCTGTGGTATCCTAAACAAGTGAACACCTTAACGTCCTGGTGTCCAAAACACAAATGAACAAACATGAAGCCTAGGCTGCCATGAAACTGACGCCAACACTTAAAAAAACCAATTGCTCCTCAGGATGTGTCATCAGGCGTGGACGTCACGCAAACAAATCATAACATCATGCTTCTCCTCCTCATCGACGCCCGAGATGGTGCGTCTTGCGAGTCGACGCTACCTGACGTGTCAGGGCTGTCATCGCTTATTTTGTTCATCTCCGGTCGAGAATGAGCCATCGAGGCTCTCTTCCTTGTTGCCGTATTTGTCTTGTCCTTCAAGGCCGTCTCAGTTGGTTCGTATGCAAAATCCTCCCGCACAACTGATGAGAGTCGCCTGTTAGATCTGGACAGCCGCCTGGTTCCGGGCTTGTCCGAGTCGTCTTGCGCAGTGCTCGCCTCACTTGTGTTTGGAGTGGACGTGGTGAACTCATAAGGATCCACTGACGAGTCGGTTGTGGGTGAAGCCAACGGACTATTCTTGTTGGATCTGGATTCGGCCTCCATCTTGGAAACCTGCTTCTTCGGTGTTTCGGCACCCTCAGTGCTGCGCGTGCCAATGTCAGCTGCTACGGAAGCCTTTTTGGCCAAAGGGCTCGCTGCTCCGGGCTTCTCCAAGGCCTCGGACGTGGTGGGAATGGCAGCTGCCAAATGCTTCCATGACTCGTTGGACGCTGGTTCACGCTTCACAATGGCCTGGTCCGCCGAGGCTGGCTCATCGGCTCTGGAGGTTGACATTCGGGACCGTGCACGACCTTCGCCAGTGACCGCGTCGCAAAGTTCCTTAGTCGGCCGCCGCATCTTGTCCCGGAGGTTAGGTTCGGCGTAACTGACGGCCGCTCTTGCACGTCTGCCCGGTCGAGCCGTCTCACCCTTGGATGAGATATCCGCTGGTGGCGGGGTGTCGCGAGCCATCGAAACGGGTGGTGTGGGTTCAGGCGACCTCGGCGACATGAGAGCAGGTTCGATCATGGCGGACTTCGTGGTTGGCATTACGTCGATAGTCGGCTTTAATGAAACCAGCGGTGCCAGTGGGACGACGATGCCAGTCGTCTCCGAGTCTTTGGCTTTGGGCTTTGCCTTTCCCTTGCGAGCCCCATCTAGACCCCTGTCTGGTTTTGTGAGGTCATCTTTGGGAGCGGGCTTTGAAGACTTTTTGGGTGACATGATGTCCTCGTTAGTGCTCTTGTTCGATAGAGGCTTTCGAGCAGTTGTGATGGGAGCGGTCAGGCTATCTTTCGCTTCGCGTCGAATGCTCGCGAGCTCCTTCAATGTTTTGGTATTCTTTCCTTCGGTGCGGATGGTGCTACGGGGTCTTGGCGCTGTGGACACGGCGGCGGAAGAGGTTGTCGTGTTCAGGACATCATTCGATCCAAACTTCCGCTTGGAGCTCGTTTTCGCCAGTTCAGGTGCATTCTGCTTCTTGACGGGCGTGGGACTCGAAATGTCCGTTTCGACCTGATTGGCATCGTCTGGTTCTGTCGTGGCCGCTCCCGATTTAACAGGCGTGATCATTTTCGTCGGTGCAGGCGAAATTGGCGAAGCTGGCGCCTCAAATTTCACGTCGACGCTCAGTTGTTTGTTCGTTGGTTGAACTCTGCTGGGTGATGTCTTTACGGGATCGGTGTCGATATCAACGAATCGCGACATGGGAGGGGGGCCCAATTCCGGGGAGTCTGTGGTATCGGCAGCACTGCACAAAGCCATGATCTCGTTCTGGCTGTTCTCGGGTTAGCGCAGCAAGACAAATGCGTCTCGGTGCAATACGTACTCCATAGTGCGACGGGAGGTCCAGTCTCTTTTCTCAGCAATCGGGGTCAACCTGCCCTCAGCCTTGGCACGGGCTTCGGCTTCTTCTTGGGTCTCAAATGGACGAATACGACGGGCTGCAGGGCTACGTCGGTTGAGAGAGATGCGGGCTGCTGTCGACTCTCGGCGCTGCCTGACGTTCGAATGTCGCTTCCTGGGCGGTGCGGTTCCCAGCTCCCCGAGCATCTCGACGCACTGAAGTAGGCGGGCTTCCAGCTGAGTGCGCATGTCGATCGCATGATCAGCTATCCTGTGGGCCTCGCTGTCTGGTTCGGGCTGTTGTTCCAGGGCAATAATGCGACCCTCGAGGGTAAGCTTGTCCGACATGAGCTGGGCATTCTGTGCCTCGAGCGTTCGGATGCGAAGTAGATGGGTGGAATTGGCCCTCGCAAGGTCCCTGTTCTGGCGGAGAAGTTTTCTTCGGACTGCATCGCAGATGGAGTCAGCAAGAGGAAAAGTACAAACAAACGAATGCAGTCTGAGATACGCCATACTGATATCAAGATGGTCCGTAGACACTGGGGGTTCATTGAGTCGCGCCATTTTTCATGGTGTTGCGGGTGTATTCTGAAGCAACGGGAGCCGCGTAGACTCGGACGCGAAACGAAGAGACAGCGAGCAGCCAGACGAGTTTGTTCAGGGTCGTGAGGTGTTGAAATCTTGCAGGAGGCTGGGGGGAGAAGCGGTGTGGTGAGGATGCTGGTGTGGAATGGGGACCAAATCTCAACGTCCCCCATGTCATTTATTTACTGTCGTCCACATGCAGCCTAGCGTCGTCGAGGGCCAGGGTGCACTGGGTTGCTGGGGCTGCAGGCATGCCCCACTGTCAATCAACAGCGACCCCACCTTGCCAGCCTGGCACTCGCCCCGCTCACTACACAGCGCGCGACAGCACAGGGCTCTGAAGCCTCTGTCAGCACCTGCTTCACCACCCCACCATCCTCATTAGAACCCAAGGCCCGAATGCCTACGAGGAGCCACACGCCACGACATGTGAACTGGAGCCTCCCAAGCTCGTCCCAACATCGACCATGTCGTATCATACCAGGTCGCTGTCAACCCGACTGACAGGGCCCGGCGCAGGCGTTCGCGATGGATCTTCCTCGATGGGCGGCCCCTCACCTGCCCTCGTGGCACGCATTGAAGAGAAGAAGGCAGAACTGGACAATCTCAAGCAGCTGCGCGACCTGAGTGCAGCTGTTGCCTCCCAGATGGAGGCTTTGGAGCAGCAGCTTTCGACGCTTTCAGATGGGACGGAAGCCATCGCGACTGTCATTGGCAACTGGCATAACGTTCTCCGTGCCATCAACATGGCCTCCAGTATGTCACCACTTGTCTCTGGGGAGGCTGGTGCGAGGCAACCGCTAACTAGACGTCTAGCCAAAATCCCGATGCCAAAGGACGATGCGACTGACGACGCAAGCGAGTCGGCGCCTTCTCTGCCGCAGACCTTGGTCCGTATTCCAACAGAGCACGCTCCCTCACTGCAAGCACAGGCCGAACAAGCGGAGCAGGATCAAGCCGCAGGAACGTCTCCTTGAACGTACGACCACAACGAACATACACATCGGATTGCCAAGGGAATTTGAGTCTCTGCGGCCGTACTGGCTGAGGCCTGAGGGGCTCTGCTTGACGCACTACAACCCTGGGTCCCAGTGGTTGCGCTCAACGTCTTGCCTCAACGGTGAGATGCTTACCAGTCGAAAAGGCCCGCCTCATTGCATCTTCGCGAAATGATCCTCGCATGAGCTCCGAGCTTTCTTTGCCCCCATCCGAAGTCGCCAGGCGGCGGTCTGGGTTTGATGCCCGACTGATGCATTGCCGCTCCTTCGCATTTGGCTTCTCCAGACGAGCAGCCTATCAGCAGTCCGGCACACGACGCGGGTCGCGTCTTCCCCTCCATCACTCCATCTGGGAAAGGCAACCTACTGCAACTCCCAACAATTACAAGTCGGCAGACGCTTGACCATTTTTATGGGATGCACCCACCCGCGTCCTCGCTGAATCTGGCGAAGCAGGAAATAACAGGCGGATGCACCAACAGGCAGAGGCAGGCATGAGACAAAAGAAGTGATGGTCAAAGCCCCTCAATCGCCTTTCGTCCCGCCCGTGTACCTCGCTCGTCCTGCCATCACCACCATTGACGACGCCCCATTATTGCGTACGACACGTTACCAGAGGCCATCAGCTTGCAGAATACCCCTTAGCTCTAGTCCCTTTCAATCAAAGTCATTCAGATCCATTTCCCTTTCCACAGAAGATCATCTACCCCCGGTCGTTTAAGTCGCCGGCCTTTATCCGCGAGATTACAACATGGCCTCGGCTTCCCCAACACCACTCACGAACCCTGTCGAGACCCTGGCCTCTGAACTTAAGCAGCTCCGCATCAAGAGTCCAGAGAGGCCTGTCTCGCGCCGTCGCCATGGCCGCTCGTCCTTCGAGACTGACTCTTCTTGGGAACCCCTCGAGGCCATCAAGGAGACCTGCGAGCCCGACGACGCAGACACAAGCGGCAACGCCCTGTATTTCCAAGACTTGTTGGAGGCACAAGGTTCGTCCGTGATTCCCATTACCCACTCGGCACAGCTCCACCAACGGCTCAGCGGACACCCGGTGGCTAACGACCCCAGTCTTCCGCGCTGTCGGCCCTGACGGCATCAACGCAGCTGGCCCGAAGCAAGACCTCCTCCACGACTACCCTTTCCTCGCCAGCATCGCAAGGCACTGCAACGGTCGATTCGACTACGTCTTGTCGGTTCCCGAATCCGCAATTGGCGACGGCCGCGGCACCTGCAGTCCTCCCAACGACAGGACCATCCGCTATGGCTGCAACCTGCTGATTGAGAGGAAGGAAACAAGCGCAAGGACTCTTTGCGAGGGTCATACAAATATCGTGTACACTGTGTTGAGCACGGAGCTTCTTGGGCAGGAGGATCTGCACCACCAGCTGCGGCATTCATATGAGGGCGGGAAGATGAACTTCACGGAGCCTATCGTCCGGGTCACATCGCCTCCAGCGGCAGATAACCTGGTTGGGGAGGTGGTCGACATTTTTATTCCCAAGCGATCCGAGCCCGCAAGTGAAACGTTGGCCGAGAAGCTGGCGGGCATCGTATTGCCCGACGACTGCTATGCGAACTGCAAACAGGTGCGAAAGTGTTCGGGATCGACCGAGGGGACATCCAGCTCGGTGCTGACGCCAACACGCTCGGCGTCGCTTGCCTCTTCGTATGGACGCATAGAAGATTCTGTCGAGGCCCTGGACAAGCTCGAGGATGAGCTCGAAGAGCTAGACGCCGCCACGCGCGTCGACCACTTTGTGTCCCCTAAGAAGAACAAGCGAAGGTCCCTGATGACAATGGGTGAGGCACCGCGCATCGACCGAATTGAGCTCAAGAGGTCATCTTCAGTCACGCACGGGTCCGCAGGCAGGTCAGCCACGGTACGCGTCAAGCCGACAGGATTGCGACCGACGCTTCCGACGCTCCGAAAGTCCGCGTCATTGACAGGCCTTGCAAGGGACGCGTCGGAGGGCGTTGCGGCAGTATGTGAAGGGGGCGTGTCGGCCCCAGCAACTTGCCGCAAGCCGGTCGCTGCCAGGCCTCCCAGTCTGAACCCTCCCAAGGCGGCTGTCAAGTCTGCCAAGGCGCCGACCAAGGCAAGCTTTGAACTCCCAGGCGAGGCCGTAGCCCGAAGAATCAAGGAGCAGAGGGAGGCTCGCCGAGCGGCGGCGGCGGCGGCGGCGGCAGCGCTGGCGAGCCCTGACAAGACGACAGCGACCACGACACCAATGCCTCAGCGATCAAGATCTATCAAGGCACCGACCCGGCCGAATTTCGAGCTACCCGGCGAGGCCATCTCGAGACGGAAGCGAGAGCAGAGAGAAAAGGAACTGCGAGAGCAGGAAGAGGCGGAAAAGAAGCGGCGAGAGTTTCGTGCGCAACCGGTGCGCGTCAATCCAGCAGCCAGCACGTTCCCCCGCGAAACAGCTGCGAGTCGCGCTCGTCGTGTCAAGGCTGGCGCGGGAGTGGAAGAGAACGCGCCGCTCGCTCGCTCAACGTCCGTGACGACAACGTCCACGGCCTTGAAGCGCATGTCGATGGTGTCGGGAGGCACAGGTGGGCCTGCACTCGCAAGGGCGGCTAGCACGTCGTCAAGGCCCCGCGGTCGAGATGTCGCTGTGTCGTCGGATCAGCCATTGGCCAGTCGGGGTACGTCGAGCTCGACACTCAGCGGAAGCGGCACCAGCAGCGGCATGAGCAGCGGCATGAGCAGCGGCATGAGCAGCGGCACCAGCAGCAGACGCAGCGCCGTGTCGGTGGAGGAGGTGCAGCGACAGAGGCTCCGTGGTAAGGTGATTTACGAGCAAGACAACTGCTACGTCGAGGAGCGCGAGCGCGAGCGGCGGGAGCGCGAGGTGTCAGCTAAGAGAGCCCGCGAGGAAGCTGCTGAACGCTCTAGGCAGGCAAGCCGAGCGTGGGCTGAGAAGCAGAAACGACGCCTGACGGCAAGCTTCCAAGGTTGATGCAAGTCTTGTACGTTGTTGTATCCTTATCGTCACAACTAGTGCACGTGGGTTTGGGGGCGTTCGGGGTTTCTTCTGGGTTTCGGAACCTTCTTCTTGTTTGTCTTAACAGCCAGCCTTGGAGTTCAAAGGCGTCGTGGTTCCGAGGAACCTGAGGCTTTATCTGTCTGCCTCACTTAGGTAGTCTGCTTTGTGGTAGTCTCAGAAAACAACATTTCTAGGTGCTCATCATCCTGTTATTACAAGTGAGCATGCCACGACCACCCAATTGATCCTATGTTTGTCTTCTCATGGGCAATCGGCAGGCGGCGAGTCGGCACTGGGCACATTTTGTTGACCTCGTCTCGTGCTCCCCCGCACGATAAGGGCCTCCACTTTGAACCTTCATCATCCATGTCAGGTATGGCCTCACCGTCACAACTTGTACTTCGCGGACTGACCACGAGTACGGATATCTATGTCTGCTCTCTATCTTGTCCACAGAGCCACTGTCTCTTTACCCACTGAAGGCGTCATTCAATCAGCGGCCTCACAATGTCGCAGCCCACGGTTCGCCTCCGACAGGGGATATATCGCGGCAAGACACTCAATGAGGAGCCAACCCACGCCCACTTACCGCAGACCATCGAGGCTTTCCTCGGCCTGCCCTACGCCAAGATCTCCGGCCGGTTCCGCGATGCCGATCCTCTGCCTCCCAGCGAAGCGACATTTGATGCCGTCAAGTACGGCCCCGTGTGTCCCGGTATCTTGAGCGAGATGGATCTCGCCGAAGGATGGGCCGTAGATGAAGATTGTCTCAGCGCGAACGTCTTCCGGCCGACGGGGCTCAACGAGGACGACGCGGTGCCGGTGGTTGTGTACGTACACGGCGGCGCATTCAACATGGGCAAAGGAGGTGATCGGGCCATGGCGAGCTTCGTAGCCTATGCCCGAGGACCCATCATCGCTGTCAGCTTTAACTACAGGGTCGGGCCGCTGGGGTTCCTGCCATCGTCTGCTATGGAGGAGGAGGGCCTGTTGAATCTGGGGCTGAGGGACCAGAGGGTTCTGCTGAGATGGGTCAGGGATAACGTTGCGGCATTTGGCGGAGACCGCGAGAAGGTGACGCTCATGGGCGTCAGCGCTGGGGCACACTCGGTGAGCTTTCTCGTCCCAACTGCCCAACTGGGCCGGTACTATTCTCCACAGGCTTGGCTACTGATCATGCGATGGATAGATTGGACACCACCTTCTCACCCCTGACCCTCACAGGGACCCCTCTGCCTCGGCCCCCTCCTACCGAGCCATTCTCGAATCCGGCGCGGCCACGGCCCGCTCCGTGCTCTTGGCCCATCACGCTCGCCACGAGGACCAATTCAACGAATACATCGCTCATCTCCATTACCCGCCATCGCTGTCGAGCCAGGAGATTGTCCTCCGGCTGCGCGTCGAGCCGCTTCCCCGCCTCCTCGCCGCTGCCGCCAAGGTCTGGCTCCCCTACGCGCCCTCGCTGCGCTGGCCCTTCCAGCCCGTGATCGACGGGCCCTCAGGCATCATCCCCTCGAGCCCTTCCCAGCTCTGGGCAGAGGGCCGCGGATCCGGGGCCCCGCTGCTCACGGGCTTCAACTCGCACGAGGGCGTCACCTTTGTCCCCGACACGCTCGCCACGGACGCCGACTTTCGCGCCTTCTTCCAGACGCTCCTGCCCGGCCTGTCGACGGCGGACCTCGACGAGCTGGGCGCCCTGTACCCGGCCGAGCCGCAGGCGGCGTACGGCCTGTCGTCGGGCTACCGCGGCGCGCACTTCCCGCGGGCCGCCGCCGCCTACGCGCACCAGGCGTACGTCGCGCCCGTGCTGTGGACCGCGTGCTGCGCCGCCAGCAGGGGCGCTGACGTCTGGGTGTACGAGTTCGCCGCGCGCGGGCCCGTCTTTGGGGGCGCGGGCCACGGCGAGGAGGGCGGCGTCGTCGCGCGCGACAGGCTCGTCGTCGCGCCGTTTGAGGGCCTCAGCAGGGTGGCCGAGGCCATGCACGCGCGATTCAGCCGGTTTATCCAGACGGGAGCGCCTGACGGAGGCCCTGGCGGCGATGCGCATGCTGCCGCGCCAGGCCATGATGCTGATTCTGGTTCTGGTCCTGGTCGTGGTTCTGGTCCAGGCGCTGTCGGGGATGACGTCTCGTGGTCGAGATTTATGCCCCCTTTCGACGGTGATCGGCAGGCGTCGGCCGTGAAGGATTTCGACCTGGCGGCCGGCAGAATCCTCGTGTTTGGCGGGGGAAATGATGAGCGTGCCGGTGGCGCGAGCCCGGGGACCGTCGCGCGCATGCGGCCGCTCACAGCGCGCGAGATACGTCAGTGTCGCTTCTGGTGGCAGCGCGCCCATCTTGGCCAAGGGACGGGGGAGGCGAGGGCGGCGGCAGGGCGGCTAAGCGATGCCATAGAGACGCCCTCCACATAGTGGTCTGCATGTCAGGCGGCAGGGCCTGTTCCGTAAGCGAGGGAGGGGGAGGGGGAGTTGTTGTCGGCGAGGCTGACCCCCTTTCGACGTTGTCGACAAACGTTGCCCGAAGTTGCGATCCAACCCACGACAATGACATCAATCTATGCGCACTCACGATCGACATGGCAATGAACCGTCTTCAGTTGCGAGAGAAGGTCGGCGAAGGCACAGCGGCGAGGTGACGGCAACGGCGACGGTGACGGGGACGGTGACTTGAAGGGCCTTCGAGTAAGTATAAAGGGGAGGGCAGTTTCGCCATTCTTCAACCAAATCTCATCATCAGAACACACAACACTATCGAACACCAAGACACCTACCATTTCAAACAATATACTTCGCTCCCAAGAAGACACTCTATCTCTTTCCCTTGACCCTGAAACAAATACAAGACCGCCATCATGCAGTTCACCATCACCGCCATCCTCTCCCTCGCCGCCCTCGCCGCGGCCTCCCCCATCGCCCCCGAGTCGTCCATCACGCTCGAGGCCATCAAGCGAAGCGTCGTTGAGAAGCGCTGCCTCTACGACACCTGCACCGACTGCTGGGCCGCCACACCCCCCATCGGCTCCAGCCCCGGCTCCCACGGCGCCGCCGCTGGACAGTGAGTTCCCTCCCTCCACCTTGTACCCCTGAGCAGCTTGCTGACCTGACCGGATAGCTCCATCTACTGCGCTACCATTTGCAACTGCAGCTAAATGCCGAGTCTCTGACCCCCCGGCCGAGGCACAGGCTTGCTTGGATTCACGGGTCACTCGTGAGGAGAGTGAGGGGCCTAGGGGCCATGTTCGATAGTTGTAGCAACCCAGTCATTACATGCATTTCCCTAGCACACAACTAGGCATTGTTTCCTTCGCAGGTAGCTAGGCATTGAGCTCAAATCATACCCTTTGTTACCTGACCAATAATTCGGCTGCTTTGAGATCAAACCAGCGACGCAACTCATCCGACCACTTCATATCTGCCCGCTGCTTAGGTACATCGTCAAGTTTCATAATCTCTACTCAAAGTCATCATCCTGGCTATCCCACTCGGGATCCGTGTCGCCGCGCTCCGAGTCGACAAAGTCCTCCATGACAAACTGTTGCTCGCGCGGCTTCTGATTGTCCAACTTTATCTCGACAACAGTACAGAGACCCTGCACGAAGATGCCGTCCGACGCGCCAGCAGGAGAGTTGCCTTCGTTGCTCCCAGCCTCGCTCGCTTCTGTCTCGGACGAATCCATGTCCACGTCCAAGTCGTCCTCGTGATCAAACTCATCGCTGTCAGGCTCTTCGTACTGCTTTCGTTTGATCGACCGCAAGGGCTTGGACGCGCTGCTCGCACGCGATGATTGGCCCGACGTCTTCGAGGCTATGCGCCTGCTCTGTCGCGCAGGCCCATCCGTGCTTGCTTTTTTCCCTTTGCGGGGCTTCTTTGCCGGTGTCGATTTGCTGCGCATGTTGGTGGTCTTGCTGCTGACTGGCGGGGGCGACAACTTGGGGCGCAGGAAAATCGTATTCAGCTTGGGCTCCCACACATGACGGAACTCGCTGCGCGACTTCCACGGAATGTTCAGCATGCAGCGGACAACGAGATAGCGTAACATGGGCAGCTGCGCAGCACTGTCAATCAGAGATTGGAAGAAGTTTGTGGCTGCCTCGACAGTCCACTGTCGAAGGTTGTCCAGCTCGATACGCTGTAGGGAAGCGGGCCATGTGGGGATCTGGTCGGGACATAGCAGCGTCTCGTATAAGGGGTTAGAATCATCGAAAGCATCATAGTGCCTGAAATACTGTAAATTCATGTGCAGTTCGCGGAGGTCGGGGCAAGCGGTGCCCAGGACTGTGAGAAAGGACAAGTTAAGTGCTTGGTTGTGGTCGAGGACAAGAGACTCCAGATGCCGTCCGTGTGACAGGAGAAATCCGGCCAAGTCTGTGGACTGCAGGTTCCAGCAATTGATGACCTTGAGTTGCTTCAACTTTTGCGGCAGGCACTGGAGCAGCGCGGCGTTGACCACAGATGACGACAGAAACGTGAGGTGTTCGAGTTCGTCAAGGCTAGACAAGCAAGCGGCGAAGGACCTGGAGAACTTTTGGTCCTTTGCTTCTCGTGCGGCGATAGCTTCATCAGACTCGTCCTGCTTCGTCACGCGCATGTTCCAGGAAGGCACCTGAAAATTGGCAAAGCGAACTCTGCGGAGGTATGCAAAAGTGGGCAGGGCGTGTATCTCTTTTATCTTGTCTACGCCATCGACGAAGCCACGACTCATCATGCGAGCGTTCCAGCAGAAGCCTTTGAGATGCGTGACATATCTCTTGTCTCCCGCATCTACATTGGCGTCCGGGGCGACATCAAGGGCCTCGAAGAGCTCTTTTGGGTACTGCCAGCGGATGTTCTCGCTACGCCTGCGGAATGGTGGATCGTCAGACGAGTGGACAATCATGACCTCTTCGAGGTTGGTCAAGTTTTGCAGTAAAGAAAACGGCGATACTGAGGTATGAGCTTGGATGGTGACAAAGGCCGTGTCGATGCGCAGGGCGCGGATCTTGGCACGATAGTTGTAGAAAGTGCGCGATGGGGGTCTCGCCAGCAGAGCAACGAGGCTTCTCGCCTTGTGGTCATTGGTCAAGGGCGGGCAACGATAGAGGACATCCAGGGCAGGCTCGGCAAGCAGAGTGCAGCTACGCGCAGTGTGGAGGAGCCAGTTGACGTCAATGCCGTCAGGTGAGTCGGACGCGGCAGCATAGCTCATGACGGCAACCCAATTATAGTACGTCATGAGAGGACTGTCCCATGCTGGACCGGTGGACGCTGCCGATTTCGTTTTGGACGCCAGTGGCTTCTGTTGCTTGAGGTGCTCGTTGCGGGCATCATGGCCGATGAGCGAAGAGCGGCGCTGCCAGCTTGTTTCTGGGGTGTCGTGGGCTGTGGCCGCAGCTGTCACGGGGTCTTCTTGAGGCCTTGGCACATCGTCGCCAGCTTGGGGCGTGCTGATCGCCTGTGCTTCCCCTCCACCATCTCGATCGCCTCGCAGGAGATGTTGCGCCGTGAGCTTGCTGCGAGTCGCACGCGAGGCCTCTGTGGGTGGTGTCGAGTGCCGTAAACGGCGGGAGGGGTTACGGCGCGGCGAAGGGGAGCCTTGAGCGACCTTGGGGGTTTGCTTGTGGACGCCCATCACTTGCTGTGACGCATGGGGGCTCCGATGAGGGATCGAGGTGTAACAGCCAGTACGCCGCCGATGGATATGCAGGCACCGATCCGGCGTGCGCCGTACGGGGGAGGCGGGTGCCAAGCTGGTGGGGTTGAAGCTTGCTGCGTGCCGGGAAGCTAATGCGACTCCGGTTCTAGGCCCCTGGTCCTCGGGCACGGTAGCCGTTCGCAAAGACTGACTGGCCACCAACCAGCCCAGGCGGGCGGAGAACGAGGGACGAAGCGCGGGTCCTAGCTGGTCTGTGACCTCTCGACAACGGTGGGCATCTAGGTCCTGCAAAGACAGGAGACGCAAGGGTGAAAGTTGGTTGTGGCGAGTAGTGAGTGAGGGCCAGGACGATGAAGTCACAGTGCACCTAGGTATGGTGTGAGCTGTGTTGTTTGGCGGTGACGTCTATGACTGTGTTGCAGTATGATGCGTTGCAGTCTGATGCGTTGCAGTCTGATGCGTTGCAGGCTCCCATCGACAAGAGAGGGAGAGCAAGCTGTCGAGGCGAATGCGTGGGTGGACGGTGGAAACCCGGAGAAACATGCGAAGAAAGATCACCAAGATGAACGTCGCTCACGGCGGCTTCCAGGTTGTGTTTGGAAGGGAGCAGCAGCAGCGGCAGTAGCAGCAACCGCGGCGGCAGTGGCAGTGGCAGTGGCAGTAGCAGCAGCAGCAGCAGCAGCAGCAGCAGCAGCAGCAGCAGCACCTGCCGTGGCAGCATGAGCAAGTCCGCCGCCACTGCTGTCCGAATGTCCAATGTCCCATGTCGGCACACGCAAAGCTTATCGCTTATCGGAGAGCATTTTCTGACAAATGAACGTGCTAGACGGGAAAGGAAGGAAGGCCCTGCCCCTGCCCCTGCCCCTGCCCTGCACAGAGGACCATCTCATCAGTCATCACTCTCCACCTCAGTTCTCCTTCCCCCAAGCCACTCGAGCCTGCCTTGCCTTAGGTGCCGCGAGGAGGAAGTTGTCACTGGCCGCCCGGTGGGAGGAAGGTACTCCAAGACGCGTCTCTCGCGCCCACCGTCCACTCTATCCATCCACGTCGTCGGGCTCACCCTCGCGGCTGCTACGCTCTCGCAATCCCCGTCGTCCCCGGCCCTGCCCTCTCGCCGGCCTTGTCATTCTCCATTGGCCATCGAGGCCATTCCTCCATCGCTGGACCACCCTCGGCCACCTTTTTCTTCTGTTCACCAGGTCGAAGCGGGAAACGGAGCCGCCAACCTTGTTGTCTGCAGGGTGGCATGTGGCGCGTCGACCCCGTGTCACTGCAATCTTCAATCCTTTGTTGAAGGTCCACGCTTCACGGCACGGCCCCCCTTTCTACGTGCGTTCTCGACGAGACGCATTCGCCATTCACCTCTGCACCACCTCACTCTCGCATCGCGACGCACTGGACTTCGACAGTGTCCAAGAGCCACGCCTTGGCCTCCCTCTTCCTTCGTCGTTCCTTTCCCTGCATGGGCATCATCCACTCTCATTCTTTGCCGTACCTTTCCTGAACCGTCATCCGTCATCAAGCACCCTCATCACCCTCACCATCGCATCTCACTCGACTCGACTCTCTCCCTCGTGTCCCCTCCCGAGAGGCCATGGTGTCACAGCCCGCACACACCCTTCGATATCCAGCCCGTACCACTCATTCGAAACTGCTCTGCCTCGGCCCCTAGTTCCGGTTCGGTCGCCCTCCACGCCTGACCCTCTCGCGCCGGACCCAGTTGCTGACCTCACTCATCCAGCGTTCCATGCCGCTGCCGCCGTCTTCCTCCAGCGATGCCGGTTGCCGTTGGCTGCAAGCGCGAACTGCCATTTCTCCAGAGGAACCTGGCTCGTGGCCTCAAAACGTCACGGGACATGGGAAACGTTGCCTCTGTCGCCCGCAACCTCGCTGGAGACTCGTGTCATGAGCCCCTCGGTCCCGGCGGCCGCGAGCTGCGTCCCCACAAACGTCGCCGCGTCGACTCACCCGCCGACGAGGCCATGCTGATCGCCAACGCCAGAGCCAACGCCAAGTCGAACGCCATGGCTCCCTTGCTCGAGGATCAGCTGTTCGTCGCCGCCGACGTTGGGCCCACCCAGCGCACCCTGCGTGTCGATGTTTTGAGAATTGTCCACAGAGACCTCCTCAAGGTCCGCGTCGGCAATGGCCTGGCCGCCCCCTTCGTTGGGCCTCGCGTCATCTCCGAGTCGAGGGCTCGCTGCAAAATCATGCTCACCCATGCCACCACGGCTGGCGACATCATGCTCCACTGCCAGAGCCAGATGTGCACAGTCAGGTCTTCCAGATCAGCCGCCGACCCCTTTCCGACTATTCGCATCCACCTCAACCGCGCCTTCTTCATACCCGAAGACAGCATCTTTGTGAACCGCCCAGATAACCACCTGTTCGACCTCGCCGATGCCTACAAAGTCTCTGTCGAACTAGAGGCCGCTGGCCCGGGCGAGTGGCCCCCCCTGGGTCTCGTGCCCAGCGCCGCCGATGCAACGTCGCCTGCCCCTCGCCCTGGCACCAACTATCGGAACTGGGTATTGGCAGGAGAGTTGTCCGACTTGTTCAGCAAAAAGCGGTCCATGGTGGATTTGAAGCTGAGAAAGTCGCCCGTCAGACTATCGCCAACCGACTATCTCATCGACATCGATGCCGGCTGGTCTACCGGATTTGATGCAGGTGGCATGAAGCCTCTGGAGAAGGCCGTCGAGGCGTCCATCCGAGCCGAAGGCACCCCCCCGCGGGCTCTGGCGAGGCCACGCGGCGTTGACGACGACGTCGCGATGCAGAGACCTGGCTCGGTCAACGGCGTCCACAGCATTGAAATCCTGGATGAAGATGACGATGAGCCTGATGGTGAAGGCACACCGAATCGGTCTCTTCGGACCCGGGGCAATAAGCAAAATTACAACCTGAAGGACTTGAGTGACAAAGCCCTGGGAAGGAATAAAAAGCGACGCAAGAGGAAAAGCTTGCCGACTGTCGAAGATGAAACAGGAAAGGTCTGCTACGACCTGCCCGCAGAGCAGGTCAATTTGGAAGACTTCCAATGCATAACGTGCGGCCAGTCACACATGACGCTTGCCGACCTACAGGCGCATCTAGAGCATCAGCACCCCGAATATGACTACGTCTGCGACCCGCATGCCAAAAGCATCCATTTCCAGGTCGTGCATCGCATAGAGGCCTTTTCCTTTGATGAAGACGGCACGTACGAGCTCAAAAAGACCGTCAAGGGCTTCCAGTTTGGTCAAAACAGCAACAGTGATGAATCTTGGCTCAAGTCAACCTTTGGGCTTCCCAAAAGTAGCGAGCTTGCCGAAACGCACGTGAAGAACTCTCCGGCCAACGGACCATCTTCAAAAGTGCTCAAGGTTGGTCCACATGAATTGAGGATGGCGAACATGCCCATGGCACTGACTTGTTTACAGAGGAAGGGCAAAGTCATCACGGTGCCATACACTAAACAGCAGCTTTTCGACCCCGTCAGCCGGATGCCGCTGGAGCCAGGCAAGCCGTTTATCAGGCACAAACCCGACGACAGATGGCTCACGCAGTGGCACCGCGATGCCATTGAAGACTTTTCGGACATTCCTTTCCACGAAAGGGAGTTCATGACCACATGGGACGAGTTCATGCTCACCCAGCGCATCTCCTCAGACGTGTACCTGCCGAGCTCATGGCTGGCTTTCCTTCGACACAAGGCCGAGTGGCTAGTTTGCTCCGAGTCTCGCATGATTGAGTTCGGGAAACACATATCCTACCTTATCGCGCGGGACGCTCTGGATGACCAGACGATCAAGCAGGGCTTCCAGATTATCAGTGCAGCGAAGCTCGCGTTGCAGAACGCGGGAGCCAGAATGCAACAACACGCATCGCCTGTAGAGTCTCAACCGCGCAAGAGCGCGGCCAACTGCCAGACATGTGCGAGACAGATACTGGGGCCCAGGCTGCTTCTGTGTGCGAATCCTGTAAGTCCATGCCCATGCCGCCCGTGACGACGACGCTCACTGTTTCTCCCAGCATTGCAAAAAGCCAGCGTTTCATCGTGATTGCGTCAAGCGCAACGCGCGCATGGACGTCGAGGATCCAGCCTGGCTCTGCAACGTCTGTATCGATATACCAGCAGAGCAGCAGATTTAGGTCATCCAGCGCCGCAAGGTATCGAGCAGGAAGCGAGTGGCGTCGAAGAAGGCTAGGGAGGCAAAGGGATGACGGGAATGGATCACAGGAGCGATGCCAAGCATGGCCGGTTTTGATTTTTCGCATGCATGACCGGAGTTTCCCAGGTTCTTCCTATTCGCTCTGCTGGTAAAAAAAAAATAGGAGGAGTCATAGATGTCGTCGACCTGTAAGGAGAAGCATAAATCTGGCATGACTTCAATGGTCTGTGATGAAGGTGAAGTGACCCGTTAAAAGCCTTGCAAATCACGCGGTGCGCAGAATGAGGTCTGACAAACTCTCTTCGGAAGCCGAAGCCGGTATACATCTCATGTCAAGACTGAAGACTGGCGCACCATTGTCTCCCCGAAAACGCCTGCCGTCAGCCCGCCGAGCCTACTTTCCTAACCGCAAATAAACTGTACAATACATACTCTTCCCGCTGTTGGCCCTCCGCGCCCCCACCCCCGTTCATTAAAAACACCATTGCATGGCGTCTCCCCTTAGAACCTGTACTTGCTCTCCTTCTTCTTGTCGGTGCGCTTCTCGTCGACCTTTTGCCTCTTCCTCGACTCCTGGGCGATCATCTCGGACAAGTCCTCCTCGTAGGCCCACTTGGCGCCGATGCCGTCCTCCTTCTTGCCCTCTTCGAAGCGACGCCGCAGCTCGTCCTTGGAGATGCCGTCGTGGCTCTGCAGGCTGTCGGGGTCGAGGGCGACGTCAATGTCGCCGGGCTTCTTGCGCTTGCGGCCGCTGTCGTCGTCCTGGCCGAGCACGGGCACGCCACCGTGCTGCTGCAGGTCGTAGACGCGGTCGCTGCCGAAGAAGCCCTCGGTGCGCTGCTGCCGCTCGGGGATGACCTGGTACGCGGCGCGCGGGTGCGTGCTCTCCTCCGTGTCGAAGCCGCGGCGCGCCTTGCGGAGGTCCATCTCGCCGGCGACGGACGTCTCGATGCCCGGGCCGGCGTAATCGGTCGGCACGCTCGAGGCGAGACCCGCCGGCGTCTCGAGACCGGCGGCGGCCGTGTCCTCGTCGGCCTCGTCGGCCTCGTCCTCCTCGTCCGACTCCTCTTCCGACTCGTCCTCCTCTTCTGACTCTTCGTCCCGCGGCTGGAGCTCGCCCCAGAGCGTCTTCTCCACGGGCTCGCCGGCGGCCTGAGGCAGAGCGACCTGCTGCGCTTGCTGCTGCTGCTGCTGCTGGCCGCCTGGGCCGCCTGGGCCGCCGGGCTGGCCGGGCTGGCCGGCGAGGCCGAAAATGTCGCCGCCGTACAGGGGCCGGTTGAACTCGTCGACGGGTGGCTTGCCCCAGCCGCCGGGGTGGAAACCCCAGGAGCCGCCGGGCGGGGGCGGGGCGTTGAGGCCGGGGATCTTGAGGGTGGGATAGGAGGGCGGGGGCCCGAAGCGCTGCTGGTTGATGAGCCAGGGCGGGGGCGCGCCGGGCGGGATGCCGAGGGCGTCTTTGGAGGCGTCACTCAGGTCGCCGGGGCGGAAGTGTTGAAAGTCGACCTCGCTCTCCTTGCCCTCGTAGTAGACCTCGCCGAAGCGCGTGAGCTCGGGCTTGGTCTGGAAGCGGAAAAAGGCGTCGTAGAGGCGCTGGTAGTCAATGTCGAGCTTGCCCATCTTGGGGGCGACGCGCTCGCGCTGCTTCTGCTTGAGGCTCTGCTGCTCCTGCTTCTCCAGCACGGCGTCGCGCATCTCGGTGATGCCCGTCTCGGCGATGAACTTGGGCAGGCGGAAGGGGGCCTTTTCGATGCCGCGCTTCGACGACAGGTACTCGCGCTTGAGGGACCAGTGCGGCGGCACGGGCACGACGTTGCGCTGGGCCTTGATCTGGACGAGCAGGCGCGGGTCGGACGACGAGACGTCCTGCCACTCGACGATTTCGGGAATCTTGACGAGCGCCTTGAGCTCGGCCACGGACAGCTTGTTGAGCTGCTTGCGCTTCTTCTTGGACAGCTTCGGCTGGCCCGTCTCCTCGTCCTCGCTGGGGATGTCGTCGTCCTGGTCGAAAAAGACGGCCTCCTCTTTTGGCGCCTCTTCGTCCTCTGCGACGCGGCCAAATCGCTTCATGATGTCTTCAAATTCCGCAAAGGCGGGATCACTCGTCTCGACATCACCGTCGAAGCCGTCGGGTCCGTCTGTGTCGCTCACGCCGGGGCCATCTTTCACGGCGAGGTCGGCAGCCGAGGTCTCTGCTGCGGGGGCCTCCCGCGGCTTCTCGTCGGCCGAGTCGGCGGGTGTCGTTGTTGTGGTGGTGGTGGTCTGTAGGTAAGGGGGGAAAACAGGCGCCGTCAGCTTCGAGCTCAGAGTATGGGGTTGGGGCCGCAGCGGCGCACTCACCTCTGCCTGTGCCTTCTTCTGCTCCTTCTTCTTGGCGCGGCGCATCTGGTTCTTGGTCATCTTTGGTGCCGCCATCTTGACTGGTGCGGGCCGCGTCGGCGGCGGATAGAACGCGCTGGCGTGGCAATGTGTGTGGAAGGGTCCGAGGTCCAGTGGCGCGGTGCCCGGAGAAGGAGGCAGGGGGGCGGTGTAGAGGCTCGCTGGAATCAAAATAGGGCAACGAGGTCCGCGAATTTCAAATGTTCGAGGGGTTGCCGCACGTGACGATGGGGGATGCGGTTGGAGTTGGACCTGGAGAAGGCTGAAGGTTTTCCAGATCGCGGCAAGAGGCCAAAAGATTCCCAGAGGTCCGCATTGCCTTAGCCTTAGCATACTGCCTTGGCATATTGCCTTAGGTCATCTTTTGCTGGCGCATGAAAAGTGGGGCAAAAGTGAACTTTGGTACCACAACGTTTGCTTGCGGTACCTACCTACTGTACCTACATTGGCATAGATGTCGATCAGGTCTTCACCTCCAGGGCCACCTTTTTTCTTCTTCTTTTTTTCATTTCTTTTTTTCGAGGTACAGACAGAGGGTGCCTGCACCAAGGCGCGAACTGATACGTGTATCCAGGCCGTGTCAGTACCACACCTACTAGGGCCACGAGCAGCCTACTAAGGCAAGGCTGGGCAAGGTGTAGGTTCCTGCTCCAGGCCCAGACGTGCTGGGCCTACTGCCCCCCAAGCCCCTAAGCAAGCCCACTAGAGCCCCCCAAGCTACGGGCTACTGCCCCCCAAGCCCCTGGGCAAGCCCGCTAGAGCCCCCCCAAGCTACGGGCTACTGCCCCCCCACACGCAGGATCCAACCCTCCTGGGAAAGATAGGTATTCCTCCTACGAGGTATCCTGAGACGACCAAAGTGGAACTCGTTTGCAGGAGAGACAATCGCCGGCATCTGTACCCCTACAACGTTGCACACCTTGACTGTTGCGCATCATCCCGTCGTGTGCCCGTACTTCTTGTCTTCCCGCCGACCCTTCCACCATGTCCTGATCACCGCCATTGCCATCATTTGCGCTTTCCTGCCTGCTGGCCCCTCAGTCACTCGTTCTGTCTGGCCGCCGCCGAAACTAGCCCAGGCTCTCTCTCTCTCTCTCTCTCTCTCTCTCTCCTCCTCCATCTGGCTCCATCCGGGCATTCTCCACCACTCTGACCCCTGGAATGCGATAAGACACGACACACTCGCCACGACAAGGACGCATCGCGTATCGCGCCATGCCTCATTCTCACGCCCACCATCCCAACAGCGCCTCCGCAAGACGGTCCCCCTCGCTCAACCGATCCTTTACGCTGTCCACAGCCCACGTCGACGCCCACAGCCGGGCGCCATCCGAGGGCATGGAAAAGTTCCCCGACCACATCGACGCCCACCTCACCACGAGCCTGCCGTCTCGGGGCACCAGTCCGGCGCGGGGCCATGGCTATGCGAGCGCCAACGGCCTCGACGGACCGCGCGACAACTGGCAGCCGCGAAGAGAGAGCCGTGTCCGCTTCGGCCCGCCAGGTCAGCCAGGCCAACCGCCCGTCACGCCGCACGCCCGCGGCGGCCACGGTCGCCAGAAGAGCCTCAGCGACGCCTTTCGCACCATCCGTTCTAGGCAGGGGAGCGTCAGCCAGAACGCACACGAGATCGCCGACGCCCTGCGTGCGCCTGTCTCGCCCACCTTGGTCGTACGTTGCTGCCCCCCGAACCATCCCTCGATTCTGATGACGAGACGACCAAAGAAAGACGCAGGCAGCTAACCCAGCGCCCTTTCTGACAGATCCTCTGCCTGCTGTGGTACGCCTCGTCCGCGTTGACCAACACATCCTCCAAGTCCATCCTGACGGCCTTCGACAAGCCGGCCACCCTGACCCTCGTGCAATTCGCCTTTGTCGCCACCTACTGCCTGCTGTTCGCCTGGCTCGCCTCCGTCTTTCCCCAGCTGAAGACCAGCATCCCGGCCCTGAAGCACGGCATCCGATACCCGACCCACGACGTCATCAGGACGACGGCGCCCCTCGCTGCCTTTCAGATCATCGGCCACCTCCTGAGCTCCTCGGCCACCTCCAAGATCCCCGTGTCGCTCGTCCACACCATCAAGGGGCTCTCGCCCCTCTTCACCGTCCTCGCCTACCGCTTCGTCTTCAACATCCGCTACTCGCGCAACACGTACCTCTCGCTCGTGCCGCTGACCCTGGGCGTCATGCTCGCCTGCTCCGGCAAGCACACGGCCTACGGCGGCGAGCTCGTCGGCGTCATCTACGCCTTCCTCGCCGCCATAGTCTTCGTCACCCAGAACATCTTCTCCAAAAAACTGTTCAACGAGGCCGCCAAGGCCGAGGCCGCCGGCCTGTCGGCGCGGTCGCAAAAGCTGGACAAGCTGAACCTCCTGTGCTACTCCTCCGGCATGGCCTTTGTCATCACCGTGCCCATCTGGTTCTGGAGCGAGGGCCTCGGCATCCTGCGCGACGTCCTGCACGACGGCGCCGTCGACCTCCGCCAGAACGCCGAGGCCTTTGACCACGGCCGCCTGGCGGTCGAGTTCTTCTTCAACGGCACCTTTCACTTTGGCCAGAACATCCTCGCCTTTGTGCTCCTGTCGCTCGTGTCGCCCGTCACCTACTCGGTCGCGAGCCTGCTGAAGCGCGTCTTCGTCATCGTCATCGCCATCCTCTGGTTCAAGGGCTCGACGACCCCCGTCCAGGGCCTCGGCATCGCCCTCACCTTTCTCGGCCTCTACCTCTACGACCGCACCCACGACCGCGAAAAGGCCGACCACAAGGCCAGCATGCTCGAAATCAAGGTCGAGCCCCTGCTGCCCCTGAACACGCGCGACCTCGCCTCGAGCCAGAACGCCCCCGTCTTTGACAGCCCCATCACGTCGGCGTCGGCGTCGGCCACGGCCATGGCGGCGGCGACGACGGCGGCGCTCAACGGCAACGGACTCTACGACGTCCAGAAGAAGACGGAAGATGCCCCCGGCAGCAGGACGCCGGGGGAGGGCAAAACGGCATGGCTCGCCCGCGGTACGAGACAGGAGGACACGTGGCGGGTGGGCGATAGTCGGGCTGGCTTATGAGCTCTGTATTCTGTGTATGCATTTTTTTTTTTTTTGCTTCTTCTCCTTTTCGCGGTGACTGGTGTCATGCGTCATGTACCATGAGCTCTTCGTTCCATTGTACGAAACTCTACTGTCTTTCTACAGGTTGCAAGGCGACCAAAAAATGGAGGGGGCGGGCGACGGGCGACGGGCGCATAGAGCGGCGTCCTGGTAAGAGTGTATAGAAGAACGGAGAAGAAGAAGAAGAAGGAGAAGAAACGGCGTTCAGGTCATAACGAAGGGGCATATTTGCACGTTGGCCGGAAGGAAAGCAAAAAATACTACATCTTCACGAGCGGCGTTCGCGTGCACATGGAGATGACGTCTTGATTCGATTCTCCGCCTGTGACCTCTCACACCAGTCGATCAGTCGATCAGCCACTCCTCGACCTCGACGCCGATACTCCGGCCGACGCCGCGCATGACGTCCCAGCCGACATTGATGCGCCACTTGCCGCCGCGGTCTGTCACGTCACCCGACACGCCGACGCGCACGAGCAGGCGCAGGCTCGCGAGCGTCGACAGCGCCATGCCCACGTCGCCGTCGAGGCCCGCGGCCCCGAGGCCTCCCGTCGCGCCGCCGCCTGCCCACTCGGCGCGCACGGCGGCGAAGATGGCGAGCATGCGCTCGAGCACAAAGGCGTGGGCGCCGAGGAGCTTGCGCGCAATCTTACGGTGCTGCTGCTTGGCGCCGCGGCCGGTCCCGGAGCGGGGCGCCGCGAAGCCGCCGCCGCGGCGCTTGCGGCGGCCGTGGTGGTAGGTGGAGAAGAGGGCGAGGTCGTGGCGCGTGGCGTTGTGGGAGGCGAGGTAGGCGGCCAGCAGCAGGAGGCGGGCCGTCGTGGGGAGGAGCGAGGCGAGGTCGGGCGTGGTCTGCTGGGTCGGCACCGCCTTGGCTGTGGTTCTTGTTGGTGTCTGGCCCTTGCTGGGTGTCGTCGTCGTGGTGCCTGTCGTGGTGCCTGTCGTGGTGCCTGTCGTGGTGCCTGTCGTGGTGCCTGTCGTGGTGCCTGTCGTGGTGCCTGTCGTGCTACTGCTGCTGCTGCTCGTGCTGCTGCTTGCGTTGGCGGTTGGCCTGAGGGCGATGATGCTCGGGTTCAGGAGGGATTCGTCCTGCAGGTGGACACGGGCGTGGATGAGGAGCTTGGAGAACTCGCGGGCGCCGTGGGTGCCGGCGGCGACGGGTGCCGTGAAACGCGGCCAGAGAATGTCGCAGGCGCGGCGCAGGGCAGGCAGGGTTCGAGAGGCGGAGACGGCCAGGGCGTCGTGGACGGCGGCGCAGAAACGGGGCCAGAGGAACTTCATGTCGTCCTCGGTCGTGTTGGGTACCGGCGCGGGTATGGAGGGGGCCATGATCTTGACATAGTCGGGTTTGGAATAGTTGGGAAAGTGTATGTGCGACACAAAGGAGGTTCGCAGGAAGCCCGCCGGGGGCGTTGTCAGGATGAAGACACAGGTCAGCGAGGGGATCTGTAGAAGAATCTTGGATCAGCTCTGAGTTTCTCGGGCCTCTCGCTGGAGAGTCAAGGACAGACCAGCTCGGGCAGCCGTGCCAGGGCGGGCAGCAGGGTGTGCGGCGCCTCTCTTTGTCGGTCGACCGAGTCGAAGACGAGGACGAAGCGCGAATGTGGTGGTTGGGATTCGGCGCCCTTCAGCATCTTGGAGAGCTCAACGGCGAGGTGGGCTGTGGTTTCGCAGGCTCTGGGCCGCGTATGCCATCCGATGGCGTCGACAACGGCATTGAGTGTTCTTTCAAAGAGGTGCCTCGCCGTGATGCATTGTATAGAGTTCATGATGGCGTAGTTGCCGCCGATGCTGCGCCGGTCGCTGCCAGCGTGGGGCGAGGCCAATTGACGCAGCAGCGCTTCGACAATGACCGACTTGCCCGTCGCCTCTGTTCCGTGGAGGACGATGTTGCGACATGGTGCGGTACTGGGCTAGGCGCAATGGTCAGCGGTCGGGACTGCCATGTGATTTTGGAAGGGGGTGAGTAGAGGCGACGTACAGCAAGGAGGGTTGTGAGGGATCGGATCTGGGGTTCTCGGCAGGGAAAGGCATCCAGCAGGGAGGAGAGAATGGTGTCGTCGGGAGGCTGGAAGAGAGGATGCATGGCGGGTTGTGACGGCGTGTGTGTGTGTGTGTGTGTGTGTGTGTGTGCGTGTCGTATGGGCTGCCGGAGATGGAATTGATCGCGATGCAGCAACTCGAGGCGCGTCTATCTGGGATCGCCAGCGAGTGGGGGGACCGGAGCCTGAACGCGAAGTCAAGTGACTGCGGTACCAGGTACAGGTACATCTGGGCATGGGTACCGACCTGCACCTAAGGTACCTCAGGTAGGTACCTCAGGTAGGTACCTCAGGTAGGTACCTCAGGTAGGTACCTTGGGCAATACCTTCAGGGTTAGGGTTGACAGGCCACTGCTGTGCCGTACCGACGTCGCATATCCATGACGCGTGGTTATGCCCGGTCTTGGCCCTCAACCCTCGAACGGCAGATGCCATCCAATGACAACTTCTGTGGCTCTCTGTAGTCTCGTCGTCGAAGACGCAAGCACCCTGCCAGGCACCAGCGAGTGCCTCCTCGTCACCCCCCATGAAGCCCAACAGTAGGCCGTGTTAAATCAAGCCCGCCTCAAAGCCAGCCGAAGGGACCTAGCACGCCGTGGTGCGTGTGGACCAGCCGAAGGATTCGGCGCCTGTCCCCTTCCGCTTGACTGCCTGCCTCTGGCTTGGCTGAGAGACCGTCAACAGTCATCGAACTGTCTGCTATCTATCCATCTGGCGACGAAAATCGTACCTCGGAACCAATACTCTGTTCCTCTACCATACTCTGCTGCCGTCCTTTTGAGTGTTGGCTGCGCTAGGCTCACACGTCACGCAGGCAGCCCCCCCCATCTCGCTCCTCTTCGTACCTACCCAAGGTACCTTCGTAGTGAACAGACATCATGAGTACCTCACCCGACTCAGATCCGGATCCCCCCGCCCTGCTGGCCTCGGACGGCACGACCAAACCGTATCACTCCAAAAGGCCACACAAAAAGACACGGTCCGGCTGCAAGACGTGCAAGGCGCGCAAGGTCAAATGCGACGAGGGCCGCCCGGCATGCCGCAACTGCGTCCTGCGCAAGGTCGACTGCCTCTATCCCGTCACCGCCGCGTCCGCCAAGTCGGCCACTCTCAAGCGCACCATCACGCCTCGCACCCCCACCTCGGAGCCATCGACGTCCATAGTGGCCAGTCCCGAGACGAGCCGCCGCCCGTGGGAGCCGAGTCCCATCATCGAGCCCTTGTACATACCGCCGGGTCAGCATGATGCCCTCGACATGAAGCTGCTCTGGTTCTACACCACCAACACCTTCAACTCCTTTCTCACGCCCAGGGACAAGGGCGAGCGCGTCAACGAGATCCTCCGCGTCAAGATTCCCTCCTACGCCTTTGAGAACCGTTTTCTCATGGACTGCCTGCTCGGCCTGTCTGCCCTTCAGCTGGAGAACCTCAACCAGGAGGTCGACCCGTCGCGCGCCCTCTACTATCGCTCGTGCGCCTTTGAAGGCTACCGCAAAGCCATCGAAAAGGCCGACGTCGAGACGTTCCCCGCCCTCATCGCCTGCTCTCTCCTGCTCGTCGCTCTGTCGTCCCAGATGTTCCGCGAGGTCACGACGAAGCGCCTGCACATACTCGACTGGATGGTCGTCTGGCGCGGCATCGGTCTCATGATCCGGCTCGCGAGCCCCCGCAAGCTCTGGGAGGCCGGCCTCGCCGAGCTCTTCTTCCGCCCGCCCATCGACCTCAACTCGTCGTCGCTGCACATCCCCAACAACCTGCTCTTCATGGTCTCCACCATCCGCGACGACGACCCCGACCACGCCCACGTCGACACCTACTACCACTGCCTGCAGTACCTCGGCTCCCTGTACCAGGAGCTGCGCCAGGGCCTCAGCTCCATCCTCAACATCCGCGCCATGACCTGGTTCACCTTTGTGCCGCCCGACTTTGTCGAGCTCGCCAAGCTGCGCCGCCCGCGCGCCCTCGTCATCATTGCCCACTACGCCATGTTTGTCAAGGTCGTCGACACCATCTGGTGGCTGCGCGGCGTCGGCGACACGAGCATCCGCGACATCCTCGAGCACCTCGACCACGACGACTTTGACGACGCCTGGGAGGACCTGCTCGCCACGCCCCGCGCCGCCCTGCGCACCGACCGCCCCGTCGACACGGCCAAGGTCATCCTCAACGACCCCGTCTGGCTGCCGCCCGCCACCGACGAGACGCTGTGCCCAGAGGAGGCCTCGCGCCTGCCCCTCATGCTGTCGCTCGTCAGCCAGCGCGGCAGGCTCATGCGCTACGACAGGGAGTCGGGCTGCCACGTCGAGCTCGACGACGGACCCGTCCTGGACGTCGCCACCAACATTGAAAGCTACATGTGCGGCAACAATCTCCGCAGGGCGGACCCGAGCCTGGCGACGCACGATGGCACCGAGGACTTGGAGGACGGGCCCTTCGCCGTCTTTCAGAGGATCCCCTTGCGATGATGCGCCTCTTTTTTTTTTTTTTTTTTTTTTTTTTTTTTTTTCTCTTTTTGGCCATGTTGTATTCTATCTATTTGGGCAGTGCGTACGTGCTGGAAAGGCGGGGTTGGCGTATTTGGTCGTGTTCCTGTCGTGCCCTCTTATTTTTTTGCATGACCGATCTGTGAGACGATATGAGGTAGTTTGCCGGGTGTAGCGGAATACACTCATCTTCAGACGATTGAACGAAGGGCCATGCCGTGTTTATTTGATGGTTTTTATGAATATTCTACTTTCCCAATGTCCATATAATGCAACAAGCCGTGCTTGCTTTCTTGGATGGCGGTAGGTGGATTTCGTAGACGAGAATGATGTCGGGGCGAAGAACTCCATGTATAGACCATGTGGCGCATCGCAACATGGACCTGCGTATGGCCAAGTCACTTTCACGAGCAAGACCTCATTTTCTCCTGCACGATAAGGGGAACTTTCTAGGCCACTGCTATGGAGAAAAAAAAAACCCCCCAGTTCCAACCTCTTGTTTGTTTCCTGCCCCCCCCCCCCCTTGTAACGCGAGACTATACGATCACGATACATTCACTGCCTGAGGCATTCCGACGCACCGCGAATTCAACCAACATGACGAGCCGCAACCCCGAGTCCACCGCGCCCATGCCCACCGAAGTGAGTTGACACCGAGCTCATGTTGAGTATCCAAGGCTTCAATGGGTCCCGCCGACACTGACACTTGACCGAGTCTCAAATCGGTTCCACTGTAGTAGCACAAGTCCGCAACGCCATGTTACATCGGAAAATCCCTCACGTTTAACCTTCATTGAACATCACAACGCAAGCCCAAATACACCCATTCACAGCACACGCATCGAATGTTGGGACAATTGGAGGAATTATGTGAATTTCTTGGTACACAGCCCACAAAAGAGACTTGATTGAGCTAAGGGAGAACCTCGCATCCCAACGATCCTCTTCTATACACAGGCCAGGACCCCATCAGATCGACGCAACGCTTCGTAGGTATCGACTTCCCGGGCCACTTAGTTCTTCTCAAGATCCGCAAGAATCTTCTCACCCTTCGCCCTGGCGGAGGCCAGGTCACCGACCATGTAGAAGGCGGACTCGGGAAGGGCATCACCCTCACCGTTGAGGATGGCCTTGAAGGAGGCAATGGTCTCCTTCAGGTCAACGAGCTGACCCTCGATACCAGTGAAGACCTGGGCGACCGTGAAAGGCTGCGACAGGAAACGCTGGATCTTACGGGCACGCTCGACGGTGAGCTTGTCAGCCTCGGACAACTCGTCCATACCCAGAATGGCGATGATGTCCTGGAGCGACTTGTACTCCTGGAGAATCTGCTGGACAGCGGAGGCGGTGTCGTAGTGCTCCTGACCGACGATACGGGGGTCAAGCATACGCGACTTGGAGTCGAGGGGGTCGACGGCGGGGTAGATACCCAGCTCGGAGATACCACGGGACAGGACAGTGGTGGCGTCAAGATGGGCGAAGGTGGTGGCGGGAGCAGGATCAGTCAAATCGTCAGCAGGGACGTAGACAGCCTGGACGGAGGTAATGGAACCCTTCTGGGTCGTGGTAATACGCTCCTGCATGCCACCCATGTCAATGGCAAGGGTGGGCTGGTAACCGACGGCAGAGGGGATACGACCCAGCAGGGCAGACACCTCGGAACCGGCCTGGGTGAAACGGAAAATGTTGTCGATGAAGAGAAGCACTGCAACGGATTAGTTCAGGCGCTCCTGCAAAAGATAAGAGGCAAATCTCATATGAACGTACCGTCCTGGCCCTCCTCGTCACGGAAGTATTCGGCAATAGTCAAACCAGTAAGAGCGACACGGGCACGGGCTCCGGGGGGCTCGTTCATCTGACCGAAGACGAGGGCGACCTTGGACTCGCCATCAAGCTGAATGACGGAGGTCTCCTGCATCTCGTGGTACAGATCGTTACCCTCACGGGTACGCTCACCGACACCAGTGAAGACGGAGTAACCACCGTGAGCCTTGGCGATGTTGTTGATGAGCTCCTGGATGAAGACGGTCTTGCCGACACCGGCACCACCGAACAGACCAATCTTACCACCACGGGCGTAGGGGGCAAGGAGATCGACGACCTTGATACCAGTGACGAGAATCTCGGCAGTGGTGGACTGGTCGGTGAACGCAGGGGGCTCGGCGTGAATGGGCAGCGTCTTCTTGGTCTTGATGGGACCGCGCTCATCAATGGGGTCACCAGTGACGTTCATGATGCGACCCAGGGTCTCGGGACCGACGGGAATGGTGATGGGGGCACCAGTGTCGGAGGCCGGGTGGCCACGGACAAGACCCTCGGTACCTGGTCAAATACGTTAAATGAGGCCTAAAAATTGTGCATGGCAAGCAGTACTTACCGTCCATGGCAATGCAGCGGACGACATTCTGGCCAAGATGTTGCTAATCAAAGTTATGAGCTACAACGTGTTGCAAAAAGGCGTCGTGGCCCCTTTTTGGGTTGGAGTGGCAACCTACCGCGACCTCAAGGACAAGCTTGTTGCCGTTGTTGGTGGTCTCAAGAGCGTTCAGAATGGGAGGAAGACGGGCGCCATCGAACTTGACTGCAAAAAGTGTGAGTAAACACGTCGCGGACGGCAAGATGACGATGCGACGAGATGGAAAAAGTTTTTTCGTCCTTCGTGGTGGTTACGTACCATCGACAACGGCACCGATGACCTGCAGAGTTGTTGTTGTCAGTAACCGAGCTTCTCCTCAATCCTGCAGCCGCCGGCTCGGCTGGTCGGACCAGCGGCAACCGCATCATCCGAATCAACTCACCTGGTAGATCTTGCCATCACCGACGCTCGAAGTGCTCGCGAATCGGGAAGCGACAGGGAATCTGAGGGTCGAGGGCCTGATGACCCGGGGAGAGGCGGTCGCCGCGAAAGAAGGGCGAGCCGCTCGGGCGAAGGAAGAAATGCCGCTGCGACGACAACGTCAGTTCAATTGGCCCCAATTGAGCGCGCGAAAGCTCGCAAAGTGGCTTCCGACGTCGAAACTCACCTCTTGAACATCTTGCCAGATGACGGAGAGCGATTTCGGATGGGAGTGGAGAGGTGATGGTTGAACTTCCAGGAGGACTTGGGGAGAAGTGAGCAGTTTTGCTCGGGATCCAGGCTTCGTCGGGTAGAGCTTTGCCTGGGGAGTCACGTGAGTCTGTCCTTCCCGGGTCCAGGAAAATTATGCGGCAGGAGCTTGGCGCGAGCTACACCGGATTGAGGTCTACTCTCCTACCGGGTTTTTCCGCGGGGCCCCCTTTCATATCCAATGGCAACCGCCTGGGGAGGCCAACAAGCGACCCAGCAACCTCAAAACGATATTAGCTAATCCTCAGGCTACACCCATTCTGGCGCCTGACAGCCTAAGGCAGTTCACGATGTTCCACAGTTGCGAACGAGCCATGGCCTGGACAGCGTCATGATTTGTCCGGAGCCCGCCCATCGACCTCTTGTCAAATTGCTGCAATTATCATCACGGGCATTGCTCCGTGCTGCAGAATTTCGTTGCTCGACCATATCGTTCCACGCACCGGAAAGATGAGTCTACGGAACTTCCTGGCCCTTGGTATCGCCGTGGGGTCTGGCGTCCTCATTAGTATGTTAATATACCATGCTCATCCACGTGAATACATGATGCTGATCGCCCCATGGGCACATACACTCTTGGCCCAGCCTTTGCGGAACAAGCGCATCACCGCCAGCTTGAGCTCAAGACTAGGGACGCCTCACTTCCAGATTCAGTCAACGAAGATCAATCCAATAAGACAAAGACCGATACCTCTCTGCCACCCCCGACATCGACTAAAGCATCGTAATACGGTTGGCGACGTTGTAGTGTTTGGTGTTATCTGTAGAATTATGCGAGAGCCAGGTGATCGCCTACCTGGGCTCGCCTCTTGACCGCCGTGTATCATAGACATAATGTTGGGACATCTACCTGAAGGGCACAGAAGGATCACTCGTGGTCTATACGTTCGCCGAGCAGCTTCTCGCCGCATCTGCTTGGTACATCCGAGATGGTCCGCCGAAAGCCAGACTTGACGGCGAAGCTCCTGTGAGACAGCCAAAACAGCTGTTCTTCCCAAAGAGCATACAGCAAGCTACGCTGATCTACTTAGGCTGCATGCAGCTCGGGAGCAGGTGAGGAACTGCTTGATCCATTGCATACGTCCAGATTCCCGCCGTGCAGCCTACAATTGTGTTTATGTCTGCAGTTTCCGATACTTGCACAAGCCCCTGCAGTGGACCGGTGTCAGTGTGCGAGAGAAAATGAAATACCGGGACCATATAACACCATATACTCCGCAAGAAACCGACCCCGTGAACCAATTGGAAAATCGCGTGTTGTATTCAATGTCATTAGAAAAGTCGTCTGCACAGCAACGTTCGTTCTCCCACTATCGATGGGCTTGAGCCATGGAAGAGCAGTTGTCGGAGGAGATCTCAAGTGCTCGCATCGAGGTAAAGCACGTGACTCGGTATTAGTCACTACATTGCCGAACAATTTTCGGGCCAGTGGCAGCTGTTCGATTACAACGGGGCCATTGGACGGATCGAGGTTCCATCATACGACACCCCAAAAAACCCTCTCCTCTCTCCCTGACCACCCAACGCCAATTCCGTCCCGGCCCATCCAGCAATTGCGGCATCCCACCACCTTCGCAAACCTCGTCGACCGAAGCGACCTCCTCTGTACAGATACCCGAGACCGGACATTCGATTTCTTTCACCTCAGCCCCGATCAAGATGATGCGAACCCAGGTCTCGTCGCTGCTGCGCGCCGCGCCCCGGTACCAGCAGGCCATGGTTATCCGCCGCGCCGCCACCACCCACGCCATCTCCAACCCAACCCTCGCCAACATTGAGAAGAGGTGGGAGACGATGCCTCTCCAGGAGCAGGCCGAGCTGTGGATGGCCCTGAGGGATCGCATGAAGGGTCCCTGGCAGGAGCTGACCCTCCAGGAGAAGAAGGCTGGTGCGTTTTCCTCGGAAGCCCCAATCCCCCCCCTAACGTGACATGGCCCCGAGAGGACGAAAGGGAAGCGGAACTGATCCGAAGCTCGGCAATGGCTGGCAATCGTCGCGGTGAAGCTCTACCATGCATCGTCGGGGTCGAGAATTGCGATTGACGCGCTCAATGGATGCAACTCGGCCCGGCCACCATGACGTCGGGTGTTCCCGCGGCCCGCCAGCCAACCTTGCTTGAATCAATCCAGTCCGAGTGGACTGCATGGCAGGCAGGCCCGACGTATTCTGAAAATGAAGAACTAACGCCAATTGCCTCCACAGCCTACTGGATTGCCTTTGGTCCCCACGGCCCCCGTGCCGCCGACCCTGCTGGCGAGGGTTCCCGTGTCTTCTTCGGCACCCTCGCTGCCGTCGGTGCCAGTCTCGCCATCTTCGGCGTCATCCGCCTGTTCGCCAAGCCCCCTCCCCCTACCATGACCAAGGAGTGGCAGGAGGCTTCCAACGAGGTGCTCAAGGTACGTCGCCACACGCCGCTGGGTCTGCTATTGCTTTGGGGGATATGGACTGACGCATCGACTGCATCGCACAGAACCAAAAAGCCGATCCTCTCACCGGTATCGCCTCCGAGGGCTACGCCGGCGTCGGACAGGTTCAGTCGCCTCCCAAGCACTAAACTGGACTTTCTCCCTCCCAACGTCATTAGATCAATACCGGCCGTTTCGCCCCCCTTGTATAAAACGACCCCTGAGAGCAACAAGAGAGGATGGAGGGTTATTATTGGTGTTAGGTCAATCGGGAACAGACAGGACGCGCGCGCGGGTGTAAATAGTGTACCGGAAGAGCTCAACTTAAAGCATCTTTTTTTTTCTTTTGTCTGCCATCAGATGTCCGGGCAGCGTGATCATGTGACGAAAACCTTTGCACTATCAAGTTCCCGATTTACAGAGACAGCACAGCAAAAGACGAGCGAATACAACGAGGGTCAACAGGAACTTGCTCTCATATTAATTATGGCTGGGGACAATTTGCGACAGCCCTTTGATGCAATCATGATGGATCTTTTGGGTTCCTTCGTTCACCAGTGCTAACATGCATCTCAACCGCTCTTTACGAATGTTGAGAGACGGGGGATTCCAGCGCCAAAATCTATTGTAAAAACGGTTAGTACCAATGCTGTGCAGGTGAATCAGACCAGAGGGGCTGTGCTTACCAGAGCGGTCCTGCAAGGAATGTAAATGTGCGTCCAATTCTTCCGTCCATTCCACTCCATGGGAGTGGTGAAAAATCGGGTGCCCTCCTCGATACGGCCGTGGCCTCCGAGATCCTTTGAGTCCGAGTTGAGAACAATCTTGTACGTGCCAGGCGTTTCGATTCCAACTCTGTAGTCGCTGAAACTCTTGTTGGGGTGGAAGTTGAAAATGAAGACGCAACCTCCTCGCTCAAAGACGATGATCTTGTCAGACTCGTTCTTCAGAGAGATGTAGGCCTGGGGGCTGCGTAGCCATCCAAATTGTGCCTCGGTTGTGTTCATAGCGCGATCAAAGTTGTTGAGGTACTGGTACCGCAAGTTATGATCTTCTGTCAGGTTGAACTGCCGCCTCGCGTACCAGAACGAGTTCTGGTTGCCCTCACGAGGGAAGTCGAGCCACTCTGGATGGCCAAACTCGTTGCCTTCAAAGTTGAGATATCCTTCGCCGCCAAGGGAATGTGTCAAAAGACGGATCATCTTGTGCAGGGCCATGCCACGGTCAATGACGGAGGTGAACGGAGTCAGGTTCGACATGTTGGTGTACATCTCGGCGTCACACAGATGCATCATAAGAGATTTGTCTCCGACGAGGCTACATCTTGTCAGCAAAAACAAATCAACAACTCGGAGACAAAGGTAGCTTACGCTTGATCGTGGCTCTCGGCGTACGCAATGGTCTTCTCGCCATGCCGTCTGTTGGTCAGAGTGAAGCAGATGTTGCCAATGTCCCATTCTTCATCCTGCTGCTCCTTCAGGATCTTGATCCACATGTCCGGGATGGCCATAGCCAGGCGGTAGTCGAAGCCAAGGCCACCAAGCGACAGCGGCACACAAAGAGCTGGCATGCCGGACACATCCTCGGCAATGGTGATGCTCTCTGGATACAGGTCGTGAAGCATCTGGTTGGCCACCATGAGGTAGACAACGGCTTCCTCGTCAACATCGGCGCCAAAGTACTCATGATAGCCACCAGAGAAGCCACTGCGGACCGTCAGTTGATGCATTCAACAATGGGAGATGGGGCGAAGACTGACGTTCCAATGCCGTGGTGGTGGTAAAGCATGCTCGTCACGCCATCGAAGCGGAAACCATCAAAGTGGTACTCGTCCATCCAGAAGCGGAGGTTGCTAAGGAGGAATCGCATGACCTCATGGTGACCATAGTTGAACAGCCTGCTGTCCCACAGCTCATGACGGCCGCGAGCACCCTCGTGGAAGTACTGGTGATCGGTGCCATCGAACTCGTTCAGTCCATCAAGCACGTTCTTGGAGGCGTGGCTGTGGACAATATCGAGGAGCACAGTGATGCCCATGCCGTGAGCAGTGTCCACGAGCTCCTTGAGGTCTTCGGGGGGTCCGTACCGGCTGCTGGCGGCGAAGAAGCTGTTGATCTGGTAGCCAAAGCTGGCATAGTAGGCGTGCTCCATAATGGCCATGAGCTGGATGACGTTATAGCCAAGATCGCGGATCCTTGGCAGCATGTTCTTGGTGAACTCCTTGTACGTAGCGACACGCAGTTCTGGCGAGGAGATACCGACGTGGGCCTCGTAGATGCGAGCGCTCGCAGGCTTGCTCGGCCTGGGGTTCTTGAACTGATACCTCTCCGAAGCGGGGGGGTTCCAGAAGCGGGCATCGTATGCCGGCGAGACGGACAGGTCCTGGGTGACATACTTGATCCACGCAGGCAGGCGGTCGATACGGTCGCCGCTGGGCGTTTGCAGAGAGATCTGGATCCGTGTCAGCCTGTCGATCGAGGTTTGTTTGATATGAACCCGTGCGAACCTTGATCTTGGAGTTGTGGGGAATGGCAGGCTGGCCATTGTTGGCAGGAAGCACGATTTCGAAAACGCCGAATTCGTCCCTCTTCATGGGATGAGACTCGCGGTCCCAGTTGTTGAAGTCGCCGGTGAGAAAGGCGTGAGTGGCATTGGGGGCCCACTCCCTGTATGTGATGGTGCCATGGGAATCGACATTGAAACCAAAGGTATCGGTGCCCTTGGAAAATTTGTCGACGCCGCCCTCGGTCTTGTCCAGCTTGGTGAGCCAGTCCTGCGCTTTGGCGTATCGCCTCTTGAAAGCGTCCTCGAACGGCTCGAGCCAGGGGTCGAGCTGGATGACGCCTGTGCCGTCAGTGCGGGTGCCAGCAGCAGCACCAGCAGCAGCGGCTTGCGGGGCCAGAGAGTTGGCGGACTGCTCGACAACAGCAGCCATGGTCGTCGTGGAGGGAAGGGGTGTTTCCAAAAATTAGACAAGCAAAAAGTTGGCAAAAAGCAGATCCGAACAGTGGGAGTCGAGTGAAGCGGACGTTTTCTTATATGAGGGCGTTGTGAGGGATAAGATGGCGAACGTGGTGCAGGCTCCTTCAGCTGGGCGAATTGTTGAGAGCGAGCAAGAGCTCGAGCTCGGGCATGCACGTAGGTAAGCTAGGCGAGGGAAAGTAGTAGTGGCAGTGGCAGTGGCAGTGGGAGTGGAAGCAGCAGTAGCGGGAACGGTACTGAAGCGAAGCGGGCAGGATAGGGACAGGCTCAAGCTTGAAGTGGCGTTGGAGGGGCAATGTCTCCGTGTTCTGGGCCTGGATGTGGATGTAAGATTGCGAGACAGATTGGAACGAGCGCGCAGGCTGTCAATTATCTGATAAGGTAAGGGGGGGAAAAAGTGCAATGAAGGAGAGGTCTCTCGTCTCGTCTCCTTCTCTTTGCCCCCCCTCGTGCTACGGAACGAATGGTAGGGCCTGACGTCGAAGAAGAGACTCAACTGAGCGGATGTTGGGCCGGCCTGTGGTGGCACCACGATGTGAGGGTGGTGCAGCTGCATATGCAGCTGCACCTGCCCGTCAGGCGGCGTGGCCGTGAGCGTCTGATAATAGCTCGTAACCATGACGTCGAGAGGCGACGAGAAGAGGGGACGAGCAAGGGAGCGACGCCCCGATCAATTCCACGAGAATTCTTGCCGGCCCCTGTCCCTGTATCACACCCTGTGTCACACCCAGCTGCCAGCTGGGGCCCTGTCCGCCATTTCCCTCTGTTCATCGAATGGGTTTTAGCGATCATCCATCATGAGCCTATAATTGTCGCAGGGCCCAGCGTGCACTCCGAAAAGGTAGTTGACCTCGCGAGGCTTGACCAATGGGCCAGGCGGACTTGACTAGATACCTAGGTAGTTAGGTCGATACGGTACATAAGGAACATAGGTGTTTTGCCTTCGTAACAGTAGTATTCATTCGCGAATCACTAGACAGCTCTCAGTGTACCCAGCCTGCTGAGGAGAAGCACCGACCACTACACCATGGTGAATTGGCACCTACGGAGGTACACAGACACAGGAACCCCCCCCCCCGCTGAGTCTCTCGCCGGAACCGGCCCCAAGTGGTCCCAAGTGGCCCCCTGCCATCCCTACCCACCTAGGGACCTTACCTTAAGGTGCCTCCTCTGCCAGATGGGAAGCTCTCAAGAGCTCCCCCGCATCGGCCAAACGGTCAACCCCCCCCCCCTTCCCCAGGCAGCGCCGGAGCTTCGTGACTCGTACCACCGACGTCCATGCGACGACGAACCCTCGAATCGGTCTTCCGAACCACACCCCTCCGCGTTACACGTCTCATGGGGTCTAGTCTACCTTCCGACCTGCAACAACGCCTCTTACCATCATGGCGACCAGCCGAGCCTCCCTGCGCCCTGATGCCATGCCTCTCCTCGTGAGGCGACCGACAACCCTCACCTGCACCCGATGCACCAGCCGCGCCCTCCCCGTCACCTACCGCCGTTCCATCTCCCTGACGGTGCCGCGGCCCTCCTCCTCCTCCCGCCGAACCCAGGACTTCTCCTCTGGCTTCACGAGTAGCTATGATCCCAGTGATGAGGGCCGTGGGCCCATGTTCAACAAGACCAACTTCGCCGTTCCCAGCTTCTACCCGAGGGACCTGAAGAAGCGAGTGGACGAGTACGTCGTCGGCCAGCACCGGGCCAAGAAGATCATATGTTCCACCGTATTCAATCACTACCAGAGCCTCCGGCGCCGGCGCCAACGTGACGAGGAGGACCGCAAACAACGGGAGAAGCTCCAGAGGCAGCGTTATGCACGCGACCGAGACGCGCACGAGAGACTACGTGATATCCACCCTGCCTCAGGTCAGCACCAAGCTGAGGATGATGGCTTTGGCTTTCCACGCCGCCTGGCTGACAGCCGTGCCCAAGATGACTATCCCGGCCACTTTGAATCCGTCGAGCATCTCAGTGACCAACCCGACCCCCGTGCGTCCGCTGACGACCTGAACATTGCCGAAGAGCCCACGGGACCGCTCAATGTCAAGATTGACAAGTCCAACCTCCTTGTCATGGGCAACACGGGCACAGGGAAGACGTACATTCTAGAGTACGCTGTTCTCCCCCGGAAAGCATGACTCTCTCCTTCTGTGAACCCCTCGTTAACACGCAAGTAGAACGCTGAGCAAGAAGCTCAATGTACCCTTTACGATAGCCGACTGTAACGCCTTTACCCAGGCTGGCTATATTGGCCAGGATGTGGAGACGTGTATCGAGAGGCTCCTGGTAGAGGCCAACTACGATATCAAAGCAGCCGAGAACGGCATCGTTGTGTTGGACGAATTTGACAAGCTCGCCTCCAAGACGCCCGCGCACGGTAGGGATGTCAGCGGCGAGGGCGTGCAACAAGCGTTGCTGAAGCTCGTCGAGGGCTCCCGTGTGACTCTGAACGTCAAGGAAAACAGGTCGTCTCGCTCGACCCCGCCCATTACCACAAACTACAACTCGGGCGGCAGCTCTCCATCGTCCTCTCAGTCCTCGCCGCCCCAGGGCAAGGTCGACCAGTACACCATCGACACGTCCAATATCTTGTTCATCATGTGTGGCGCGTTTGTCGGCCTGCGGTCCATTGTCGAACGCCGCGTCTCCAAGCCCTCCATGGGGTTCGGCTCCGACCTGCGAGGCCGCCAGAACCTATCCGGTGACAAGCATGACCTGCCGAAGCATCTCTTCGACCACTTGCCCCACACCAACCCCGACGCGCCGGCCTCAACACATACCCCGCTAGACCTCACCACACCGGCAGACCTGCAGGCCTTTGGGTTCATCCCCGAGCTCATAGGCCGCGTCTCCAACATATGCGCCCTGAACCCCCTGACCCTCGACGACCTGTTCCGAATCCTGACCGAGACGCGTCACAGCCTCGTCGCCCAGTACACCGCCCTCTTCGAGACGTACCCCTCCCGTCTGCACTTTACGCGCAAGGCGCTCTATGCCATTGCGGCCGAGGCTGCGAAGGCCGAGACGGGAGCCCGCGGTCTCAAGATGGAGATGGAGCGCGTGCTCGCTGAGCCCATCTTTGAGGCACCCGTGCCGTACGTGCTCATCACCGAGGGCTGCGTCAAGGGCACCGAAAAGGCCAGCTACTGGGGCAAGGACGGACGGATCGAGCTGGAGCGGGTCATGCGGGAGGAGGACGAGACACACGGGACCCCCCAGCCGGAGACGACATTTGAGCAGTACAGGGAGACGGGGCAGAGCGGTGCCTGATGTTGATGTGCATGAATCAACTGCCGACGTAGCCTTTTTCACATTTATTCCCACGACAAGCGTTCAAGAGGGATACCACTAGCCCGACTGGCCTACAATAACATCATCTCCTCTGCCTCACTGACGAGCTCGTCCTGCATGTGCGCCCTGCACCTCGCCCACCACGCGTTCCACCTCTGCAACTCACGCAGAAGACTCTGTCCCAGCTCCTCCATGTCCCAGTGCGGCCTCGCCAGCCCCTGTCCCGCCTGCGTGGCTCGCGCGGGTGCCTGGGCAACGATCAGCTCGGCCGTCACCAGCCAGTTTCTCTCAAAGTCCGTAATGGTGCCCCTCGCCAGGCTGGCCACCAAAGTTTCGTCCTCGCCGACAAACCCGTCTTCCATGATAACGTCCTGAAACAGGCCGGCGGACACGTCATCCTCGTACGGATCGGCGAGACTGGATGCGAGGCGGGACTCCGCGTTCTTCGTGGCTTCTGACCAGCAGCTAAGCGCTTGCTGCATGGCCGACCAGGCAGCAGCAGGTGCTGAAGTGTCGTATGATGCCGCCGTCAGGGTGGGTTGGAGCATGGCCAGTAATACGACCATCTTTCGAAAGAGGTGCAAGTGCTCTACGCAGAGGATGCCATCATTCAAACACCGGACCCCGCGAATCCATCGCATCATGGCCCGAAACAGCGTGGGAAGCTGCTCGCGGGATTGATCCATCTGTCGAGCAGCCACGCCATCCAATCGCAGCCTGATGGCCTCGCAATACGTGTCGAATAGGACGAAAGCCTCGGGCTTCATAACTGAAGCTGAGAGGATCACCGGCAGCATCTTGCCGAGTATGAACCCCAGAATGGCATCGTCCTTCATGCCCTTGGCGAGAATGCGCGTCTCGTGCCCGAGTCTGCCATGCAAGAGAGCCTGTTTGAAGTTGTTGTACATGTAGTAGAATAACTGTGGCATCGCCGGGGAATCGCCCTCGTTCAGTCGGAGGCCGTACGATTTGATGCTGTCTACTTGAAGGTGCGGGTCCTGCACGGGCGGCGAGTATTCTTTGCTGACTTGGTAGAAGAAGGGCGGAATTTGGAAGATTTCCGTTGTGTGGGACTTGACCAAGGACACAACGCGGCGTACAAACTGAACGTATCTTGTGTGTTGTCCATCGTTTGTCACAGAAAATTCATGCAAATCGTTCTGGATCCGTTGCATGACTGCCTTGAGTGCAGCAGAATAGTCGGATGTGTTGGACTTCTTCTGTGAAGGTGTCGACGATATCCGTAGGGACGTTCTCATCCACATCAGTGTCTCTATCATGAAGTATCAGCAAGAGGTCAAGTTGTTTCACATCATACACAAACTAAACGTACTTCTTAACATGTCGCAATTCATGTCGTAATTTGCATGTCTCAACATATCGCTCTCTGTGGGCAAAAAAGGATACTTCAGCTTCTTCAGGCTCAACGCAAATTGATGCTCGAAGAGCATATCATCTCTAGGTTTGGTGAGAGAGAGCAGCCACAACTGCAGAACTGATACGCCAACGTCCTACTAATGCATTAGCTCAGTTCAGGCAATTTACGATCCTCACATACTGTCAGATCTAATTCCTTGTGTAGGTTGGCGAGGAAAAGGGGGAGATAGCGACTCTGCAGCGGGCCAAGCTGACTTGGCAGCCCTTCGAAGAGCTCATATTTCCCTGCCTTGCTGCGTTGACTGATCTTGAAACATCGTGATAGACGCTGCATGCAGTGGTTAGCCAGTTGAACAAGACTGAATGAACAAAGGCTCACAATAGTGCCGCATCGGATCAAAATTGCAGCCAATCGGCCAGCTACCGTCACAACCTGCTCCCTTGCTTCCTCCGTTTTGGACTTCGTCTGTGGGGAGTGATCGCCTGTCGAGCTAGTCTGCAACATGCCTCTGGCCATTGCGTAGAAGTCCGCAGTGAGGTCATTGTCTATCTTCTATCGGAATGTCAGATCAAGTCGATATGACGCTCATTCGCACGTGAACATACCATGATGCCGTCTTCAAGCCCCGCCGCATTGTTCTCTGTTTGAACACGGCCAAGGGCCCTCTCGACATGAACCAAGAAAACATCGACAGTCGCGACAGCATCCTTGAGTAAACTCAGTGGATATTCCGCCGGCGACTTGGAAAATTGACGGAAAACGTGCCGAAGTTGAACTGGGTCCATTAGCAGAAGGTCAGTTTCCAAGGCTTGATGACTTACCAATATTCCCAGCAAAAATAGAGAGCTCCAAGCTTCTTGCGTACTTCGCAACATCGAGCGAGATCGTCACGGAATACCGAATGACTTCCATGGTGGCAGACTTGTTACTGGCTATGATGCCGTTGATGAGATTCTGGTCGATGCCGTGACTAGCGTCTTTGGACATGGACGACAACTGTTGCTGTATGTCCGAAGCTGTCGAGTCGTACTGGTCCAGGAGTTGTTGAAAAGCGCTTCCCTGCCAGAGATGAAATGGCCTGAACGCTGCCACTGATTCCTTGTGAACCACAAACCTTGCCAGTTGGGCCCAGGCCTTGAGGTTTATGAGGCAGGCTTCCTTGTGAGAGCTTGAAGGAACGACAAGCTTCTCCAAAAGAGCAAGAAGTGTGCTGGGGCGCAACTCAGCAGGTGTCGCCCAAAAGAGGGTACAGAGAAGGTCATGATGGTTGCGAAGAGCAGCAAGATCATGCTGGTGAACATTCTGCTCCTTGAGGTACTGGCGGTCGTGATTCGGCAGAGTCCGCGCGACGAGGTTGCGAATCTCTCTGTCGGATCCAGTCTGTACCAGGCGTTGAATGGTGAGAGCGACTAGCTTTAGGAAGATGTGAAAGCAGCGGTCTTCTGGCTCGACTCGTAAGGCCGTTTCGACGTGCAAACGCTCGAGAAAAGCGGGTGACTGGAAGACTTCTTCGTTTCGCAGATTTGATAGATTTTGTGAACCGAAGAAATCGAAGACGGTGCCAATGACGCCGCCGCATTTGTACCATCCCCAGTGTTCGACCAAGTATACGCATCGACGCACGATGGTTCTACAGTAATCGTTAAACCCAGGCGGTTGTCGATTGTTTGCTTTATACAATTGGAAGACTCGCTTCAGGGCAAGCTGAGGCAAAGCCCAGCCGTCCATAGCGACACTGTGCCGGGATTCGGAGACGAGTATGCCAGACGAATCAAACTCGCACAGGGGCAGCAGTGTGAACATCGTTTCCCAAAGTTGCTCGAATCTTTGTACATTGAGGCCGGTCTTATCTTCGCCCTTGATCAAGACCGAGAATGTGACATCCCAGAACGACATCCGGGGTATTCGCAATTGCCCGAGTGCTCTCATGAGCATGACCCAGGTCTGTGCTACAATGTTGTCGGCTCGAATACCACGTTCCCGGTTTGTTAGTTGCTGGAGGCTGCCATAAGCAGTGACCAGTGACGCCGTCCCTATTTGTAGAAGACACCCCACAGAAGTGGCTACGACTTCACGTAGAATGTTCTCGAGCCCCGTAATCTGCGGAATCATGGAAGCTTGATCTCTGCAGATCGAATGGCTACAGAGCACGATGATGAGGAATTCTGACAGCACCTCTAGTGCCTTCGTTGTCTTCCTTTGGTCCAAGAATATTGCTTGAACTTTGAAGCGGCTGAAAAAGCCTTCGAAAACAAGCAGTAGTCGAGACAAGAACGTTCCTAAGTTTGTATCATCAGTAACACTGAGGCTATTTTGCACGTATGTGCGCATGAACCTTGCAGCATCCTTGGTGTCGAAGCCCGAATCGACATCAGAACCTGTCTCAGTGAGATGATTGCAGATTGCATCAATAAGAATTCCGAATTCAGACGAGATCTGTTCATCCCATAGGCCCCATTTCAGAGGTTGGCCGCTGAGATTGAAGTGGACTCGGGGCCGCGGCTGCTTGATCTTCTCCAGCAAGCCGGAGGCGAGTGAAGCTTGGAAGCATCCACTACCAAGAAGCGTCTCTTCATGAAAGAAGACCCCCCTTTGCAGTGGGAAAATCTCAAAATGTTCACTGTAATGGGCTCCAAAAGGCGCCAGGCCGAGCAATTGGTCGACGCCTAGATCTGCAGCACTGATGTGTCCGTCTGTTCGGGGTCCGCTAGGAAGAGGATCATGCGCATGTCGGTACTGGGGCGCCCGTGTGTCCACTCGAGTAGGCTTCTCGGTCTTCTTCAACCTCCTCCGCGATGGCTTTGCCACGTTCAGGGAAGCATCCTTGCGCACTGCGGATTCGGTTTCTTCCATGACCAAAGATCCATCATTGTCTCTGGCCATGAGAGACATGGTACTCTGGGACACGGACCGAGGACGTGCTCCGCGACGATAGATGGCATCCAGCATCCTCTTTTTTGTTTGAAAGTTCACTGTGCCAGCCTCATTCATCACATCCGCCTCGAATTGAGCAGGCCGGACACTGGCAGCTCTGCTTCTCGGCAACATGCGAGATGGGTTCTTTGCGGTAGCATTGCGTTTTGGCTGTATGATTCTGCTGGAGGAGTCTGTCGGAGTATCGTGCGACTCAGATGAATCCAAAGCAGCGCCATTATGTGAGATGTGAGCCAACGGTTGCCGGTCGGAACCTTGAACGGCGGTCGAGGGGCCTGTGACCGAGTGCCGAGGATGAATTTCACCACCGATCCAGTCTTGCAGGACCCTACCAGCATCGAGCTGATCCTCCCTGGTACCCAGGCATATTGTTTTCCTACTTGGGCTGGATCTTCCTCGCTGGGCTTTGCTCTTCACAGCGCGGGCGGCAAGCCTTAAGAATCGTGGTGCCTCTGGCTCAATAACGTCTAGGATGCCCAGTCGAGGTGGATTGTACGTCCTTTGAGACTTCTTCTTCGAAGCTCTCCTTGATGACTTGTCTTTATTCTGACTTCGTCGTGGTGGTTTCTGCCTTTTTGCGGGAGTACCGTTGCCGGAACCAAAGTGGCTCGTGATGGTCGGTTGCTGACGCTGTCTGGCACCAGACTGGTCCAATTTTCGTCTTTTCGCAGAACTTGCACCCGAGATAGATTGGGTCAGCTGGCGTTTGGGTCGTTGTACCATATGATCAATCTCGTTATCCTCGACCACAGACATGTCATCATCATCATTATCATCTACGATGTGCAGGATCTGTTGCGAGTAATGCTTCTCGGTCCTCGGTTTGGGAGTTTGCAAAGATTCCGCCTCAGACTCGTCGTCGTCGAATAGGTCAAAAGGCAAAATGGGTGTGGACGGCGACTGATTCGATGTCGTCTTCGTTCTCGGCATGGCGATGCCGCGTCGTTGAGTCGGGTCAGGCGGCATCGGCCGAGCATGAGCAGCTCGATGAGGCTTTGGCTGCTGCCTCGGTCGGTCTAGCCTGAAATGAGACGCTGGAAGGACTCCTCGAGCTCTGCGTCCAAACGCCACGAGTTCTTTGCCATGCTTTGGAGTGCTGTTGGATTCCTCGCTAACCTCGGAATCTGAGGCATCATCCGCATGAGAAGCCGCTGAAAGATTCACACTAGGGCTTTCAAGAGGGCACTCAAGAGGATGTTGTTCTGGGCTTATAGGCCGGGGTCGGGATGGCGTTATCTGCTCCGATGTATCGACTCTGGGAGGCCGACTTCGGGATCCTCTGCTATGCTTTGAAACATTTTTTGCCTTGAGGGCAGCGGGTGGTAGCGGCCGAGGCTGACGGAACTTGATGTGCGGAGCGTGCACCGAATGTAAGTTGGTAGAGGTCGGCTCGAGGCTGATGTGCGAAGCAGATTTCTTCGTCGACTTCCGTGACGAGGTCAGGAGGGATGATGGATGTCTCTTCACGGGAAAGGATGGCGTCTGGGCAGTCAACAGCTGTTTCAAAGACGGCAACTCATCGCTCTCCTGGTCGCTCTCGTGATGTTCGTAGTCGATGAACGGGCTCGTGACATTCGTCTCGCGTGAAACGCTGCGAGGACTGCTTGAGGTATTCCGTGGTGGTTGAGACGACGTCTTGGCAGTGGAAGGCGAGGGGAACGTCGGGAAAGGAGCCGAGTAGTCCAACGATTCATGCAGCAGCGACTGACTCTCCTCACACAACCGCTCCTGGTGTTCACTGACGGTATTCTGACTTTCTTCTTGAAACTCCTGCTCTTGCGAATCCTCTTCTGGTGTCTTGTTCCTGCCTCGAGCATGCGCCTCCTCCAGCATGCGAACGGGTTTGATGCCGCGGGCCTTCAGAGCTTTGTTGTACTGTGCGCTCTCGATCATGTACGGATGCTCTTGTATAGGTTTTCTCGGACGTAATGAGCGCTCATAGCGCTGTGCGGCCGTGACAGCAGCGGCTATGGCCGAGGCGGTTTCGGGACTCGGGGGAGCCGAATGTTGACGACGGAGATGTTGCGTAGAAACAGGTGGGAGGACCGGCGTTGCATGATCTCGATCGAAGAGGAATTCGGGTAGAGGCTCAGTCAGCTCAACAAGTCCCGCCGATACATCGTCAGTCTCGAAGCCGAGAGGGTCTGGTGAATCGCCGCGTGCGGACACAACGACACGCGACGGCTTCGAAATTGCAGAAGCGGCAGCTCGGTATGGTCCTTCTGAGAACATATCGGCAAGCTCATCATCGTCCGGGGCTGAGGAGAGGGGAGACGACGCCGGCGGCATGGCCATGTGCACTCGAGGCTGGGGAGTAGATGGCCGCTCGGGCAAGGGCGCCACCACTGGAGCATCTCCGATCGGTGAGGATGCGGGAATATCACACATGCTCTGGCTTGTGTTCTTAGCTTGGGACAGCAATCCGTGGGTTGGGACCGCCTGCGATGTCGAAGGAGCGGCTCCATTGTGTTGGTCCAAGTTAAAGGAAAAGGTGAGTGTCGAATCGTGTGCCTGCCCATGGTTGTCGAAGTCTCCGTCATCGTCCGAATCTGGGACCTCCCCTAGTTCCCTCCATGTGGCCATTGATATCTGTGCTCATGTCGAGCGAACTTGCGATGTATTGCAGTGCATCGAGGGCTAGTGGACGTCGACTTGGGTGGTGAGGTAACGCGGAACCTGGGAATGTGAATTGCAGGTCGAATGTCTAGGCCTGCCGAACGTATTCGATGTCAAAGTGGGGTACACAATCAGTACCATGTAGACCCCGACCAAACTGGGCTAATCAGCGGCTGCCTGACGTGAATTCCTTTGCATATCTGTTTGGCAGATAGACACCCTTTTACTTAAGTTGTGGTGACGACGCGACAGGTGAGACGCGTATTTTAGTGGTACGCGCCAGCCCCAAACCACTTTAGCGTTAAGCGTCCGTGCACCCACAGGTCCCTCACCACGCGCTACAACGGTGTACAGCACCGACGAGTTCGAGCAAACTGGTCAGTTGGAGGTGGCAAGGCGCTACGGCCCTAGTGTCACATCTATTACATGCCAGAACGTCGATGAGACTTCTCTCTATCGCTCTCCGTACAGGCGCTCAATTCAAGTAACATTAAAAGATACAGTTGGCACTGCCATCGCCTATAGTCCCCCTTCGAGGGATCCCTTCCACCATAACAAGCAACATACGTTTACAACCTGACAACCCCTTTTTTTTTGTTCTACTTTACTCGCCCTTCAGCTTGTCCTGCTTGACCGTGAAGGCCATCTCCAGGAATTCCTGCTCTTCCTTGGTGTGCAGGCCCTTGGTACCCGCTGCCACGGACGCGCTGGGGTTGCGGCCAGCGTACATGACGTGCTTGCGGTTGTGGTGCTCTGTCTGGTTGAGGAGCGTCTCGATGCGAGGCTGCGTGAAGCTCCACGCACCAGCGTTGAGCGGCTCCTCCTGAGCCCAGACAATCGTCTCTGCGTTGGGGTACTGGTCGAGGTTCTCCTTGAGCTGCTGCCATGGGAAGGGGTTGAGCTGCTCAATACGCGTGAACGCCGTGTCGTCAATCTTGTTGTCCGCGCGGTACTTGTGGAGCGCGGCCCACACCTGACCCGTGCAAAGCACAACACGCTTGATTTCCTCAGGCTTCTTGATGGTGCCGGCCTCGTGCTCGGGGTCGGGGATAATCCACTGGAAGTGGGACTCGTCAACAAACTCCTCGATGTTGGACCGCGCCAGAGGGTGGCGGAGGAGCGACTTGGAGAAGAAGATGATGAGGGCTAAGGCAACACAGGTCAGCACAAGCGAGATATTGAGAAAGGGGGGGGGACAAAGAAGGTGGACGCAAGGGACTTACGCTTGCGGAATTGCCTGTGCATCTGGCGACGAAGGGCGTGGAACAAGTTGGCAGGGGTCGTGAAGTAAGCGATCTGCATGTTGCAGTCCTGGTGCTGGCGCTCGAGCTTCTCGGGCGAGGGGAAGACACGAGGGTCCTCATTGCAGAGCTGCAGGTAACGCTCCAAGCGTCCGGAGGAGTGCTCGGGACCCTGGCCGTCGTAACCGTGGGGCAGCGACATGACGAGACCTGTCCTCTGCATCCACTTGACCTCACCGGAAGCGATGAACTGGTCAATGATGCACTGCGCGTTGTTGGCGAAGTCACCGAACTGGGCCTCCCACATGACGAGCGCGTTGGGAGACGAGAGAGAGTAACCGTATTCGAAGCCAAGGGCACCAAACTCGCTCAGAGACGAGTTGGCAATGACGAACTTGCCCTGGTCCTTGCTAATGTTCTGCAGCGGTGTGTAGGTGTCCTCGGTCTCCTGGTCGTGGAAGACGGCGTGGCGCTGCGAGAAGGTGCCACGCTCGACATCCTGACCGGACACGCGGACGTGGTGGCCCTCGGTGACGAGGGAACCGAAGGCGAGAGCCTCGGCCGTGGGGAAGTCAATGTTCTGGCCCCCAACCACAGACTTGGTCCTGTTGGAGAGGATACGCTTGAGGTTCCTGTGCACGTTGAAGCCCTCACTTGTGCTGCCAATGACCTCACCGATGTGCTCGAGTGTCTTCTTGTCGACGCTGGTCGTGTTGTGCGGCAGAACCTCGGTGGCCAGCTCCTTGGGCGACTTGAAGCCGTTCCAGGCCGAAGTCGTCCACTCCTTGGAGGTGGGCTGGTATTCCTTGGACTTGGTGAAGCTCTCCTCGAGCATGCCCCAGACCCACTGCTTGTGCTCTTCGACGTCTTCCTTGGTGAAGGTGCCGTCCTTGATAAGCTTGTCGACGTAGATGGCAATCTGAGACTTGTGCGACTGGATGCGCTTGTACATCAGGGGCTGCGTGAAGGAAGGCTGGTCAGTCTCGTTGTGGCCGTGCTTGCGGTAGCACACCAGGTCGACGATGACATCCTGCTGGAACTCGGCACGCCAGTCGGCAGCCATCTGGCAGACGAAGTTGACGGCCTCGACGTCGTCGGCATTGACGTGGAAGACGGGGGCGTCGATAGCCTTGGCGATATCGGTACAGTAGGCGGTCGAGCGAGCGAAGCGGGGGTCGGTCGTGAAGCCGATCTGGTTGTTCACGACGAGGTGGATGGTACCACCAGTGGAGAAGGCAGGGAGCGAGTGGAAGCCGAGGCACTCGTAGACGACACCCTGAGCGGCGAAAGCGGCGTCACCGTGGAGCAGGACGCCCATGGCAGTGCGGTGGGCCTTCTCATCGTTATTGTAGTGCTGGATGGCGCGCGTCTTACCGAGAACGACGGGGTCCTCGGCCTCGAGATGGGAAGGGTTGGCCACAAGGGACAGCTGGACACGCTTGCCCGAGGGGGTGGGACGCTCGAAGTTCATGCCAAGATGGTACTTGACATCGCCAGATCCCTCATCCTCGGCACCGGCAGTGCCAGCGAACTCGGAGAAGATGGACTCGTTGGGTTTCCTGACGACGTTGCTGAGAACGTTGAGGCGGCCACGATGCGGCATGCCAATGACAATGTCCTTGACGCCGTAGTCGACACTGCGATCGATCAGAGCCTTCATACCGGGGACCAGGGTCTCGCAACCCTCCAGGCCGAAACGCTTGTCGTTGGGGTACTTTGTGGACAGGAAGGACTCGAAGCTCGAACTCCAGATAAGACGGTCGAGGATGCGGCGCTTCTCATCAATGCTGTACTTGAAGGGCTGGGGCACCTCGAGGCGCTCGCGCAGCCAGTCGCACTTCTCACGGTCAGGAATGTGGATGAACTCGATTCCATAGGACCCGCAGTAGATGCGCTCGCAGGCGTCAATGATCTCGCGCAGCGTCATCTTCTCGCGGCCCTCGCGCTTGAAGCGAGGCAGGATGCCGGGGCCGAGGGAGTATTCGGTGTCGAGGTCCTTTTCGGTGAACTGGTAGTGCTCGAGGGTGAGCTCCTTGGGCTTGATGTTACCAAAGCCCTTCTGCTCGTTACGGATACCGAGGGGATCGATGTTGGCCTTGTTGTGGCCGCGAGCCTGGTAGGCGCGGACGAGGAGCTGGACCTTCAGGTGGTTCGCCACCTCGGTGCCCTCAGCGCTGCCGGCGGCGAGGCGAGGGACGCCTCCCGTGGCGCCGGGCACGAGAGAGGGCGGCGGGGTGAAGGCTTGGGAGATGGGCATGTCGCCAGACTCCATGTTGCGGAAGTAGACCTGCCATGAGACGTGGACGCTCTTGGGATCCTCCTTCCACTGCATGTACATCTCGTCAATGTAGTTGGCGGTGTTTCCGGAGAGGAAGTTGTCATTGGGATCGGGGGCATTGTCGGTGGCGCTGGCGTAATGCCTCCTCGCGGTCAAGCTCAGGGGTCGGCGGCTTGCGGCCAGAGTCTGTGTCGCGGCGGTACGCGGCGTGGTAGGGAGAGTCGAGAAGCGACGGGATGAAGGGGCCGCGCACCGGGAGCTTTGAAGCACCCGAGTGCTGGCTTTGCTCAGCGAGCTGCGCAGCATGATGGCGGAGCAGATCGAACAAGGAGAAAAGGAGGGAGAGAGAGGGGGGACGGGGTGGATGTCCTGGAAGGTGATAACGATAGGTTTGGCTAAAGGAGGGAAAAGGAGGCAGAGATCAGAAGGGCGACGACGTAGGAGATACTGGACAGGGCTCTAAAAGTGAGCCTGGTCAGTAGCAGACCTGGAGACCTGGCCGGTTCTTGCCGTCACAGCAGAGCTCGTCGGCAAAACCGAAAGTGCTACCGGCAGCAGAGGTGACTGGCCATTCAGAGCCCTCCGAGTTCCATGGCACCCGAAACAAGTCGCGCTAGGGGGGGGGGGAGGGGGGCGAGTGTCGCGCACAGTGCATATATTCTCGTTTCGAATTGTCGCATGAGCTTCAGCTTGGGCCTTTCTCGCTCTCTTTTTCGTCCTGTGCTCTGCCCTGACTGTTCCTGATGATCTGGTGTGTAGTCTTGCTGTGCTATTCTTACAATCTCTGGCGTGGCCCCGGAGACGCCATGTGAGCTGCCGCATCTTGTGTTGTGTTTCCAGATGAAAATCATCCGCGTCGCACCCATGAAGTGAGCACTGTGACGTCCCTTGTTCTTCACGGAGGCATGACCACTCGGTATTTGACCGACGCAAATCAGAGGTAGGATTCGTTCATATTAGGTACGCAGTTTGATTCGAAGCCTGCTGGGGCTGGCGCACAGTCTGCCTCCTATTGCTCTGCACGGTTCTCCCGCCCACTGAACTCTCGGCGTTGGCTGGTAGACCCCGACTGCCCCGTAAAACACAGATCCCCATCCCTCGCCTGCCGAAAAATGTGTGGCAGCTCTGTGTGGCTGGTGCCAAAGCCACTACGAGCTGCCGTCTCGTCATCACGCAGAAGCTCACTGGTGGTCGTCACAACCACCTTGTCCACCAACGAGTGACAAGCCTCGAGTGTCGACCGAATGGATGCCTAGGCAGCTCACCCAACTTGCCTCGCTCATGACTAGTAGTCTACGTCCATAAAGCCTCGAGAGAGACTGCCACACACACTGCCGTTTCTTGGGCGTTGCGAGTTCTTCTCTCTCTTGGGTCCTGCCTCGCACCGTCGTGCAGATTCATCCGCCATCCGCTGGGGAGGAAAGCGTAGGCAGGCCAGGCCGTCTCCATTTGCAACACCCCAGCAACTGAGGCACACGATCCGTTCCACCTGCCATGCTCATGACTAGAGTCGGGTCATGAGCTCTGGAATCCTCGATACCACAAATTCCACTGCTCTACCACAACCTACCTTAGTCCAGCAAGTAAGGAATCATGGCCGTGCCTTCTGGTCGGGCAGCCTTCAAGAAGAAGGATGGCGTCTTGACTCTGTCTGCTGATCAGATGCACGTCACCTGGACACCATGGCCCGGCAACGGCACACCCACCGTGTCTCTGCCTCTCCCCAACATCTCAAGTAAGTGACATGTGGTGGGCAAATGCCATCACGGCCTGCTGTGCCTCCAGGCTGGCTGCCCACTTCACCGCTGACACGTTGACAGACTTGCAACAGACCCCAGATACCGCGGCTAAAGTCATGCTGCGGATCATAGAAAAGGCACCAGATGCGACTGAACAGACACCGTACTCATTCCACTTTACGTCTCCGGATGCGCGCGCCGAGGCCAACGCCGTGAAAGATGTCCTGTCCAAATTACTACAGGACCTGCGATCAGGCGACCCAAACCTGCCGAAGCCGGCATCGTCCACGGGCACACCCAACGCCAATGGCGAGGGCAACGGCGGCGTCTCTGCCTCCATGGCCTTTGCGAGCTCGGTCAACTCAAAGCCAGCCCCGCCACGCTGGTTCGACGACGGCCAGCTCAAGAGCGACATTGAACTTCAACAGTCTCTGATGAAGGCGGACCGCAATCTCTACCAGACATATGTTGATGCCCGCGCCACCAAGCCAGATTCTATCTCTGATGCGGCTTTCAACTCCCAATTCTGGTCCACACGCACAAACCTTCTGCGAGCCCACGCTATCGAGATGAACCAGAAGAGGGGCTCCTACAACGTCTTGTCAACCATCAAGCCACGGACAGAGGGTGAGGAGCTCAAGCTGAATATCAGCGTCGAGCAGGTGCAGCTCATTTTCAGCCAGCACCCACTCATCAAGCGTCTCTACAATGAAAACGTGCCCAAGATCACCGAGGCCGAGTTCTGGTCACGCTTCTTCCTCAGCAAGCTGTCACGAACCCTGAGGGGCGACAAGGTGCAAGACGAGAAAAAGGAGGGCATCGTCCGAGACCCCCTTTTTGACAACCATGATGAGAGCGAAAACACACTGGGCTTTCAAAGCAGGATCATGGCACAAAGCGTGCCGAACATCATCAACGTCGAAGCCAATGAAGAGAACCAAGGTGGTTTTCGAAGCGGCAACCAGGCCGACTTTGAGATGCGGCCCAGGAAGAACGTTCTCATCGTCAAGACGCTCAACAGTTTGAGCGAAAAGATCATGGCAAACGTCGCCCCGTCCGACATTGAGGCAGAGCAGACGAACGGGGACGAAGATGCCACTTTCGGCCAGCTGGCGCTACGAGACTTGCAAGGCGATGTCGAGGAACAGCGCGTGATTCTCAACGTCAAGGAGCAAAGCCGCTTCTTCTCCAAGCACGAGGACACGCAATCTGCGAATTCTCGGATCTTCTCCAGGCAGGTTGCCGGTAACGTCTTGTCCAGCGTCCGTCGCGAGTTGCGTCTCATGGTGACGGACAACTCTGGCGCACTAGACCTGCACGCTGGCATCAGCGTTGATGACCAAAGTGACAGCGACGAAGAAACAAGGAAGCCCCCGCGCGTCGGTTCCCGAGCAACGAGAAAGCTGGCCGAGGACGATGTCATGGCCGGCGTCAAACGGCGGCGCATGGAAAAGTACGGCACCGGCTCAGACGCCACTGACCTGATGGGACTGCAGCCTGAGCTAGCTGAGCGCTGCCAGTTGACGCATGCTACGACGGTGGAATTCCTACACCAGTTCTGGACAGCTTTCCTCTCCGGCGACCCAGACCGAGCCGCAGAGCTGCAGTATTTGGTCGAGTCACTAAAGCGGTCCGAAGAACGCATCCATGCCGTGGCGGGCGACGCCGAGAAGGCCAGGAAAGCACTCATCGAAGCCAAGACGGCGGAGATTCAGGCGAAGTACCAGAGGACGCGCATCAAAGACAAGAGCTGGCACCCTAAACATGTCAAGGGCGGCCAGAAGGCTGTCTTCCAGATGATGCAGCCCATTACTGATGCCCTGAAGAAGGCACAGGCTGACTACCAGCGTGCTCTGGCTGCAGAAGGTGTACAGGCCACGACCGAAAACCAATAGATTGGCTGGTCAGGGCACAGCAGGGCCGCTTGTTCGCGCATTTTGTACCATGGAAATACCATCCGGAGTTTATAGAGGCGATGCACAGGGAGATCATAGGAAGTCAGCCTGTGCTTTTAATCGAGAGCCAGGCCTCTTGTGTAAGGGATAAATTCTATAAATTTCATTATTCAAAACACCAGGATTGAGCCACATGTCTTTCAGGGCTCAGCAGCGTTGCAGTAGTTGACTAACTCATCCCCTTCTATTTGGCTTCCATCAATCGACAATGTGGTGGTACAGGGACGTACAGAAGCGTAATCGTACAAAATGCAAAAGCCTATCGATACAGCCACCGCCCAGTTTGCTGCCTATGCAGGCACAGCTGGCCGCACGCGGGCATCCTCTGCGTCGGTCGGGGTCGGCATAATACCAAAGCCCATTGTCCTAGGCTTGCGGTTGCGACTCCGCTGGTCGCCGTACTTTTGATCAAACTTCCTGATGGACTTGAGGCTGTCCATATCCTCACTGATGCTGGCAGCAATCTCCCCGGACGCCTTGTCAAAGTGGCGCTTGAGCAGCGTTCTTCGCTCAGGGTAAACATACGGCTCTGAGCCCGTATACAAGGCAGCCTGCTCGAGCTCTTCCTGCACAGCAGTCATGGCGGCAGCGACAGTCAGGTTCTTCAGATCGGAGCCAGAGTAGAGGACAGTGCGACGGGCGATGTCTTCAATGGACACCGAGGCATCGAGCTGCTCGCCCTTGAGCAGAATACGCAGGATAGATTCGCGGTCTTCTTGGAGGGGTAGATCAACCAGGATCTTGCGGGGCAGACGCCGGAGCACGGCATCGTCGAGATCGAAGGGCCGGTTGGTCGCGACCATGATGAACGCTTTCGTGTCGCTCATGCCATCCCACTCCCTGAGGAACTGGTTGATCGTCTCGCGATGCGAGGGTCGCGACCTTGACTGCCCGCGGGCAGCGAAGAGCGCGTCGGCTTCGTCGATGAAGATGACAAGGGGACTCAGCTTTTTGGCAAGGGAGAAGAGAGCGCGGACATTCTTCTCGCTCTGGCCGACGTACATATCGTTGATGCTGGCGCCGCTGACCTCGAGCATGCTGGCACCACTTTCCTTGGCGACAGCCTTGGCCAGCAGAGTCTTGCCCGTGCCTGGCGGACCGTACAAGAGACAGCCGGGAAGCCTGTCGTTGGCAAGAACGCCATAAGCGAAGGCCTCGGGCCGGACGAGGGAGAGCGAGGTGAGGAGTTTGAGGGCAGATATGGTGGCCGGTGGTGCGTGAACGTCGGCGAAGGTGGTCCGGATCTCTTTCACGTCGACAAGGCCCGTCAAAAGCTTCTTCTCAAACTCGTTATACTTGTGGCCGCCCACCTGGACACGCTCGGGCTCTGCCTTTTGCTGGGTTGTTGTTCGTGACGAAGAAAAGTTCTCCTTTTCCTCGTCCGCTTTGTTACTGGCATGGACAATGTTGGCGCTATGTGACCCAATGACGTCCAAAAGAATCTGTAGCGCTGCCTTGGTATTGGGTTTGTTGAGCTTCAAGCCGTGGAACAGCCGAGCGATATGATACACGTCCGGCCCGGAAAGTACTGAGGTGGTGAAGCTGGAAGGAAAGGCTGACAGATCGATGTCAATGCCGTCCGGGGTTTGGCTTAGTCTCTGTGCTGAGTTGA